ATTATTTACAATAGCTAAGATATGGGAGACAACCTAGGTGTCCATCAATGGATGAATGGATAATGAAAATGTGGTATATCTATATACAATAAAACACTACTCACCCATAAAAAAGAAGGAAATCCTGACATTTGTGGAAACATGGATAGACCTTGAGGGTATATACTAAGTGAAATAAGTCAGAAGGACAAAGACAAATACCATATGATTTCACTCATAAGTGGAATCTAAAACAAAACATGAAACAAACAAACCTACAGATTCAGAGAACAGGTCAGTGGTTACCAGAAGGGTAGGGGGCTGCAGGGGTGAGCAAAGGGGGTTAACTGTATAGTGACTGATGGTAACTAGACTTTTGGGGGTGGTCACTTTGTAGTGTACACAGATGTCAAATTATTATATCGTACACTTGAAACATATAATAAAATACACATTTAAAAAAATCAAGAGCTTTATCTCAAGACAATCAATATGTGGAAACTATGGCAGAGAGAAATTAAGTAATTTCCCATAGTCAGTAATAGCATAAATCCTTGGCAGAGCCAGGTTGGAACCCAGAACTTTCCCCTCCAAACAGCAGGGTAAAGGCCACCTTCCCTGAAGCCACCACCTTGTGTATGGCCATTGCCAACAGCAGCAGGAGACCCAAAGGTCCAGGCCCCCCAGTCCCAGCAGGACCTGCTAGGTGATGTCTCAGAGTTTGGATCCTGCCCCTTCCTCAGGACACAAGCTGGGCGCTACCTTGGGGATATGGTGGACAGCTGTGAGGCCCCTCAGTGAGCAAACACTCCACATTACAGATAGGGAAGCAGAGACCCAAGAGGGGAGGGCGCCTGCCCAGAGTCAGCACACCTCAGAAGTCCTGCCAGGACAGGAGGCCTGCGTCTCCTGATTTCTTTTCCAACCTTGCACAAATGGGTTAAGAGACAGTCTTTACCATCAAAAGACCTGGTTCAAATTCCAGCTCTGTAATCTACTTATTGTGCAAACCTGGGCAAGCGACAACACCTCTCTTAACTTGTCTCCTCCCCTGCAAAATGGGGAGCTGCATCCTACTTTCCAGTGCTGTTATGCAAGGGAAGTGAGGGAACCTATGAACACCCCACCCCACTCACCGAGGCCAGGTTCCCCTCTGGGTCCCACTCAAAGCAGTGCCCAATCCACTGCAGATACTCCAAAAATATCTGTCCAGGGAATGATGGATAGGGGTGTACAAATGCTAATGCTAAGCATGAATAAGACAAGCCAAATTTTAGAGGAGAAACATGGGGAGAGAGGAAAATCGTTCACATTACAAAGCAATTCTTTCACTGAAGAAACATGTGAGGGGAGCCTTCTAAGCTGCTGGGATATTAACAGCTTGAGTTCCTGAAGGGCACAAGATGGCAGGAGCCATCAGGAAGGACCAGGAGAGGCAGCAGAAAGGTCAGGATCACTTTGGAAACGTAGCTGGGTATACAGCTTTTTTAGTCCCAGAGGAATCCAGCTTTGAGATTAGAGGACTGGGTCTCAGATCGGGGCATGCAAGCAAGTACAAATAGGGTGGACATGTGCATGTGCACACGCACACATACACACCAACCCTCACCTTTTAAAAAAGTGTCATAAACAAACAGGACCTAATTAAACTTAAAGCTTTTGCACAGCAAAGGAAACCATAAACAAAACTGAAAGACAGCCTATGGAATGGGAGAAAATATTTGCAAACAATGCAACCAACAAGGGATTAATTTCCAAAATAAACAAACAGCTCATACAACTCAATATCGAAAAAACAAACAACCCAATCAAAATGTGGGCAGAAGACCTAAATACACATTTCTCCAAAGAAGGGATACAGATGGCCAACAGGCACTGGAAAACATGCTTGACATTGCTAATTATTAAGGAAATGCAAACCAAAACCACAATGAGGTACCACCTCATGCTCATCAGAATGGCCATCATCAAAAAGACTACAAATAATAAACGCTGGAGAGGGTGTGGAGAAAAAGGAACCTCCTTACACTGTTGGTGGGAATGTAAATTGTTGCAGCCACATGGAGAACAGTCTGGAGGTTCCTTAAAAAACTAAAAACAGAGTTACCATATGATCCCGCAATCCCACTCCTGGGCATATATCTGGAGAAAACTGTAATTTGAAAAGATACATGCACCCCAGTGTTCATGGAAGCACTATTTACAATAGCCAAGACAAGGAAGCAACCTAAATGTCCCTTGACAGATGAGTGGATAAAGAGGGTGTGGTACATATATACAATGGAATATTACTCAGCCTTAAAAAGTAATGAAATAATGCCATTTGCAGCAACATGGATGGACCTAGAGATTATTATACTAAGTGAAGTAAGTCAGAAAGAGAAAGACAAATATCATATGATATCACTTATATGTGGAAACTAAAAAAAAAAAAATGATACAAATGAACTTATTTACAAAACAGAAATAGACTCACACACATAGAAGACAAACTTATGGTTACCAAAGGGGAAAGAGGGGGAGGGATAAATTAGGAGTATGGGATTAACATAAACACACTACTATATATGAAATAGATAACCAACAAGTGCTTACTGTATAGCACAGGGAACTATATTCAATATTTTTAATAATCTATAACAGAAAAGAATCTGAAAAAGAATAGATTTATATATATATACACACACACATACATATATATGGATAACTGAATCACTTTGCTGTAACCTGAAACTAACACAACATTGTAAATCAACTATACTTCAATTAAAACAGTGAATAAATAAAGGAAAAAAATTCAAGCAGAAAAGAGTCAATACCAAATAAAAACAAAAAAGGGCCAAAATTCCAGAGTCCTTCCCCAAGCATGGCCACGCCCTTGGGATAGAGAATCCTGATGGCTCCTGCCAACCTCTGTTTATTCATTCATCCACCAAATACTTGCTGAGCGCCTACCCCGGGCCAGGCCCTAGGCTGGGGCTGGGGCTGGGGCTGGGGCTGGGACCGCATTGGTGACCAAGAACAACACAGTTCTTGCTTTCACCAGTGATTTAGACAAAAACCAGTAATTAAAGAAAAAAATAGCCACCACTGTTGTGGGCATACCAAGGGTGTGTTGTCTCTTTCTACCACCACTTGTGACACCAAACGTGTAGTCTTCCCACTCCAGCAACAAGCAATTCTCTGATTCCCCAACACTGGATGTCCAACATTCAATCCTGACACTAAGTCTTGGAGTTAGCGCAGATCCCCACAGGTTTAGGACTCAGTCCTACAAGACTCCCCCAACTTCAGACAACAATTGCCAATCTCAGTACTTCTGACCTACCAGCTATAAATTCAGGGGTTCCCATAACCCCCGCCCCGGCTTCAATAATTTGCCAGAATGACTCACAGAACTCAGGGAAGCACTTTACTTGCATTTGCTGGTTTATTAGAAAGGACACAACTCAGGAACAGCCATTGGGAGGGATGCATAGGACAAGATATGGCTAGGAGGCCACCCTCCCAGCACCTCTATGTGTTCACCAACTCAGAAGCTCCCCAAACCCCACTGTTTAGGGATTTTTATCGAGGCTTCATTATGTAGGTATAATTGATTAAATCATTGACCATTGGTGATTAACTCAATCTCCAGCATCTCTCCTTCCCCGGGGGCTGGGGGAGGGGGAGTGGGGAGAACTGAAAGTTCCAACCCTCGAATTAAGGCTTGGTCTTCCTGGCAACAAGCCCCCATCTCGAAGCTATGTGTGGGCCCCCAGCCACAGACAAAAAAGACAGTCTTATCACTCAGCAGATTACAAGGATTTTTTTAGAAGCTCTGTGTCAGGAACCAGGGACAAAGACCAAATCTATACTTTTATTATACCATAAAGTGCAAAAGTTTGGAGCTAAGAAAGCAAGGCCAGGAGCTTCTAATCCAGACTGGGGTGACTTCCCAAAAGAGTGAGACATTGTAGTGAGACAAAAAGACACAGGAGCTGGACAGGTAAAGCGGGAAGGCCCTGGGGACTTCGGTAGCAGGAAGAGAGGGCAAGAAGGTTTTAAGTTCAAAAAAGTTCTAAGTTCATTAGAAGTGGCTGTGAGTATCCCGCTAGGTTTTCCTGCCCATTCCTACTGTGATGATCTGTCTCTCCAGCAGCCCCCCTGACCCCAGCCTGGAAGGTTCCCAAGGGCAGGGGACTAGTATAGCTTTGTTTTCTGTGGTTTGGGCTTCCTGCTGTGCCCCAGTGCTTAGATCACTGTGGACATTCAAAAATAAATATTGATGCGTAACCAAATCAGCGCATCTTGTGCGACCCAAACCCTCACACACCTGCCCACAGAACTCTCACCAGCACCCTGCCACACAGAGCGGGAAATTCTACCATTAAACATCACTCCTGGGAATTAAGAAATTCTCTTATGGGGAGCTAAGAAAACAGTAATACTCTCAAGTTACAAATGCCTGGGGCTTTACAGTTTATCAAGAGCTTTCCTTCATATCCTGTGAGTTATAGTTAAGGCAAGGGAAGCTTAGAGAGGGGAAGTAACTCAGAGTCATACCTCCAGGATCTGAACCCAGGTCTCTGGACTCCGGGTAGAGGCCTGCGGTGTTTCTTTCTGCAGAGTGAATGTGTGTGCATCTGACCAGCACCAGGCTCTGGGAGGCGGGCCGGATAGGCAGGGAGAGAAAGGGAGAGACAGAGGCTCGGTAGCTGGCACTCACTAAGCTGCCCAGCCAGCCTCGTGCTGAGCTTATCTATCCTGCTTCACACCCTCCTAGCAATCTCCCAGGGTAGCCCCCGACCAGGAACAGCACGGTCACAACCACCAGAGGGAGGCAGGAGGACAGGAGAGTACATGCAATGAGCTCAACCAGGGAGAGCTGGGAGCCGAGGGCCTGCCAGGCCGCGCCTTCAGTCTTCTGTGGTCCAGCCCCTCCAGGGGAGGAGAAAGGGGCCGGGCCACCCGTGAGAGGCCTAGGCCTGCAGCTAGAGGCCAGGCCAGGCCGACTGTGCAGACACAGGACAGAGGTGAGTCAGGTGAACCGGGCCATGGGGCCCGGGAGGGACTGGGAGACTCCTGAGGACTGCACCCTCCCCGCAACTTCTACTGACTCTGAGAGCTGCTTTCTTCCATTCGACCCCTATTTCCTAGACGCTACCTGTGAGCCGGGCCCTGTGCTAAGTGTGAGAGCCACAGCACGAATGTGACAAAGATCCTGGCCCTCTTGGAGTTTACCTTTAAGCAGGTAGAGACAGCAACAAACAAAAACATAGCAAAGGAGCAAATTATGTTACGATAAGTGAAAAGAGAAAAGGTAGAGCAGGGTGAGGGAGACTGGGAATGCTGGGGGAAGGGGCTCGGGATTTTAAACAGGGTGGTCAGGTGGGCCTCACTGAGAAGGTGGCACTGATGAAGGACTTGCAGAGGTAGTGAGGGAGCCATGGGCACATCGGGGAAGGAGTGTTCCAGGCAGAGCACACAGCCCTGGCCTCTAGAGGCTGGAGGGTGAGGGGCAAGGCCTGGGTGTTGGAGTACAGCAAGGACGCAGCGGCAGTTAGAGCGCAGGAGGAAGACACAGGGAGAGAGGAGACAGGCTAGAAGGCCCTGCAGGGATCCAGGGGGCAGCTGACGGGGGCGCTCCTTGAATGTGCCAGGCCCTTTGTCAGCATCCCACAGCCCTGTTGCCCACTTAGGGGTGTCGGTTTGTAAGCCTGTGGATGAATTCCATGTGCTATTGTACGTGTGGCTGCGTGACCTTACAAAGTCTCCTCTCTTCCCGAGGCTCCTGTCCTCTCTATAAAATACTTGTAATGACAGCAGTGTATCTGCAGGGTTGTGGTAGAGAAGAACAGGAATCAAAATAGTGGCCACCTGCAGGCTCTTGGGACCCCACAAAAGCAGAGCTGGCCTCCCCAGGCACTCACTGCCTTGGGACAGGGACATTCGAGTGAATGAGGAATTGCTCCTATTGTCCACTCTAATAGCACCCAGTGGGGGCACCGAAGGGCTGCTCGGTTCTCCCAGGGGGCACTGCCATCGGGAAGGTTTCTTAGAGGAGGTGGCCCTGGAGGCTGGGGCTCACTAGGAACACCAGGGGAAACAGCGGGGGCAAAGGGCAGGAGGAGAGGGAGAGGAGGCCTGGGTAGGCGGAGTGGGTGGATACGGGGCAAGGGGCGAGAGGTGGTGAGATGGCAGAGGGCATGGACTCCATACAACAAACAGCCGGCCCCAAGGACCAGACTCCCAGCAGGGTACGAGGTAAACAACGTGACTGCAGTTTAGGAGCTCACCCTGGCAGCCAGAAGAGCAGAGGAAAGGCACTGAGGCCAGGTGAGCGACGAAGGTGGCCGAGGTGGTAGCCAAGGGAATGGATGGAACAAAAGCATCTGAGAGACTCGAGAAGTAGAAAGGACTATACCTGCTGGTCGCCGGGCTGTGGGGAAACAGGGGCTCTGAGAGGCTGAGGGTTTGCTGTGAAGGACACAGGGCCCACCGTGGCTGTGGAGGACACACAGGGGTCCCGGAGGAACATGGCACAGGCAAGGGCAAGCTTCCTCCCCTCAGCTCCACAGTACCCCTCAAGGCTCACGGAAATGGGCCAAACGAGCCTGGGACTTAGCCCCCTAGGTGCGGCTGTAGCATGGACAGAGCATGTGTTCTGTGGTCGGACCCGGTCCAACTCCTGGCCAGCAGTAGCTGTGCAGCTAGAGGCCATGCACTTAACCTCTCTAACATGAATTTCTTCGTACGTGACCTTCATTGACTTTATGTGAGAATTTCCCCCAGGCAATCAGACCCTGTCCAAATCTTGGCTAGAACGCACTGAACTACTGTTTACTGAGCAGTTACTGCATACAGTCCTGGACAGTGCCTGGTACACAGCCAAGGGCCACAGGGGAGAGTGCGGGGGTGGAGTGGCACACGAGCATTTAAGGGAGGTTGCTTTCCTCCAAAGCAGGCCTCAGCTGACACTCAGCCCTGGGCAGTTCCTTCTGCACACAGGTTCGTAGCACAGCCCAAGGCTCAGAGCACCCAGGCCACAAGTCTCTCTTCTCAGACACCAGGCAGACCCGGGCTAGGATGGGCAGTCCAGTGCACCGAGTGTCAATGGGGGACACCTGGAGCAGGCAAGTGCACCCTGACATAGAGAGCGAGAGGCACATGCAGTCCTTCTGCGTGGAAGAGCTCACCAACATCCTTGATGGAGGGGCCCAGAACACTGCACTCCGGAGGAAAGTCGGTAAGAGAAGGCTGGGGAATGGAGCATCTGCTTCGTGCCCATATGCTTTTCTTGGAAGAAGAGTCCCTCAATAGCAGTCCCACCTTCAAATAACAAACTCTGCTCTCAAAATTCCACTATTAGAGATTCATTCCTTTGGACTATGAAGGCATCTTTAACATGTCAATATTTCCTGAGCCCCTCTGAGGGATAGAAGAGTCCTAGGCAGCAGAAGACCTGGATAGAGTCCTTATTCTTCCACTGCATAGCTTTGTAACCTTGGGCATGTCACTTTGCCACCTCTGGACCTCATTCATTGCATCTGTAAAATGACAGCAATGTCTGACTTCCTTTCCACATCCATGAGGCAAGTGGATGGGAAGATTTGAAGGTACCAGGAACCTCACCCAGGACTCTAAGCCCTCTCTCTGTTCTCTGTCCCTGACAGAAAGCATCATTCACAGTGACCCAGAGCTTAGCCTGAAGGATAATTATTTCATGACCCAGAATGAACGTTACGAAGCCGCCATTAAGAAGAAATTCCACATCCAGATGTTAGCACAGCGCCTGGGCTGGTCTGAAGACAGTCGTGAATTATATTACGCTAACAGGTGCTCACACCCAGGGCAACCCCACCAGAGAGGAATTCACCTGGGACCCCCCAGAAAACCCAGCCCATGAGCTATTTTCCCCAACAAAGGTACTACCTGTTGGGAAAGAAGGATATCAGGTGTCCCTTCCCTCCTGCACCCTGCCAGCCTGAGGGTACTGGGGCCCTTGTCTCCAATGGGCTGTTCAACCACTGCGTCTCTCCCCTGCAGAAGCCTTTCTGGAGATCTGGGCTTAGCGTTACAATTCGTCTTCCAGAAAGCGCTCAGGAGCCTGGGCTCAGAGGAGCAGATTGCCAGGTGGGACCCACTCTGCAACAAGTTACAGATCCTTGCGACATATGCCCAGACAGAACTGGGGCACGGTGAGCCAGGGCTGCTGGGTGCTGTGTACAGGTGTGCACTGCACAGTTCCAGAGGGCCCATTCACATCTCACTAGTCATAGATTTATATATTTAATATGAAGATGTTACAGCAGGTGGCAGTTAAAGGTCTTGAGGAGGGGGTGATTTTTTCTAATTTACACGAACATACTGTATGATCTAGTGGTGAGGCAAGGTGTTCCTTCTGGAAATGTCAGCCACCATTCCCTATCATGGGCTGGCCATGTGTCCCCCAAAGAGCCCACCGGTGAAAGGAGAGAAATGCCTGTTGAGTACAGCTGGGAGCTACCCGACTCCATACTGCACTGATGCCTGGGGGCTCCAGGCCAACCTAGACACTGCGCCCCCGGTGAGATTCCAACCATGGCCCAATGTCTAACTCCCCTCCTTGATGCCCAGGGACATATCTTCAGGGCCTGGAGACTGAAGCCACCTACGATGCAGCCACCCAGGAGTTTGTGGTGCACAGCCCCACGCTGACTGCCATCAAATGGTGGCCTGGGGACCGTGAGTATAGTATCTCTTCATCCCCCCACCCCCCGCCATCTGCCCCCAAGGAGAACAAAGCTGGACCGCAGAACAGCACTGACTTTGATGTGCAACAGACCTCAGGTTGATTCCCTGTTCTAGGCTGGTGACCCTGGGCAAGTGAATACGTCTCCCTGAGCCCCAGGTTCTTATGTAGTAAAACAGGTGGGATATGAAGAATTTCATCAGTGAGTGGCTGAGAGGCTGCCAAGGGAACTTTGAAATAGCTGAGGAAACTGACCCAAACTTTGGGGGCTGACGGTCAAGGTCTCTCTCACATGCACACTTCCCCCACGCCCTCCACACACAGCACTCGCCACAGCCCCTGTTCCTCTCATCTCCCAAGTTAATGATTAAGCTTGCCACCAGCCAGCACACAGGGTACAGTCAATGCGAAAAACGTCCCTCCCTTCCCCTGCTCCAGACACTCAGAAGGGCTCAGGCCCATCCCCAGCGCCAATCAAGCCACCGGTGCCACACCACCCCCTGTGGCCACCAGGTGCAGGCCGCACCCACCATGCTTCCCAGAGTCTCAGTGATTTGCCAAGCCCCAAGGAGCAGGGTTCCACCAGGGCCCTCTTCCTCTGATTTGAGAATACATCTCTGAGGATACATCTGTGGCACTTGGGGACACATTAGGTGAACACTTATATGGGAAAAAAAAAAATACAAGTGTGAGGAGTCCAACTAAAGCAGAAAGAGAGAGAGGGAGAGGTGAGAGACAAGCAGAGAGGGAGAAAGATTGAGAGAAGGAGAGAGAAGTGGACAGACAGGCCAGAGAAATAAGAGAGCGATGCTCGGGGCGGGGAGGTGGGGCGTGGTGATCAATGACCACTGACAAAACTGCAGAAAAAAAGAAACCAGCCTTTGAAATCAGGCAGGGTTCAAACCCGGGCTCTGCCCCGTTCAGGCCAGTGACCTTGAGCACATCACTCCGTTCTCTGAGCCTCAGTTGCCTTTTCTGGAAAATGGGACTTCAGCTTACCTGCCCTGCAAAGACCGCAAAGCACCAGCACAGGGGTGGTACCACCTGGATTTTGGTAAATGCTAGCTATCTGTATTCATATTACTACGCTGATGGCAGAGAGAGTCATTAAGAAGTTTTTGAGGACAGAAAAAAAGCAAGCTTGTTCATTTCACAGTGCCCTTTGCAAGTCGCTGCTAGATTTGTTTGGCTCTTTGGGGGTAGTTCCCCCTCTTTGTGAACAGGGACTTTTTGAGGTCTCAAAGGAGCCCATCTGCTAGGGTGGGCAGCAATGCACACATCTCCCTATGACTTGGGACCCATGTTCTGACCACAGATCCTGACATACGTACCCCAGCAGCTATGATATAAAAATCCTGTCTCCTTGATTCCAAAGGAAATGACTCAAGGGCACACACTTCAGTCAGAAGACTGTAGTAAGGCCAAGTTTTAAAAGATGCAGAGCTTTTCCAGATTGCTCCATTTGGGGTGATTTCATTAAAATCCATTGCCTTTGTCAAGCTTTGCCTTTGGAAGAAAGAGCGGCCAGAGGGCATAGAGGGCTTTCGTCCCCTCAAGATCTCCATCAGCCTCCTTGAGCCTTCCCTAGCCCATGGGGATCCTGCCTGTGTATCGTAGGGTGGTTCCTATACAAACCTGACGTTTAGACAGAACCCCCTGTATCTCCAGCCACCAACCCAATGCATTCCAGAGCCAGACACTCACATTAAAGCTCTCTGGATGGTTCCAGTCATTTCCAAGGACGAGTAAAGGCCTTATGAATCAAGGGGTATCCTGACCAAGCACCCCTTGGCTACCCTGGATGCTACCACCTCCGCTGCCTGGCCCCAACAAGCCAGTCCAGTCCTCAAGCTTCTGAGCAGGCTGTTCCCTCTGCCTTGCATACCCTGTCCTGTGCGGCTCCCCTAGAAAACACCCTTTGTCCTCCTCGTGCATCCTCCCCTGACCCACACCCTCCAAGGTAGTTCAAACAAAGCCCCATTCCAGCCTCACAGAGTGTCCTGCCCTTCCCATACCACCACACTGGTCCTCACAGACTAGGCCCACACCCAGGGCCCTGATGGGGAAGGTTAGCCTGCCTGCTCTGTACATCAGGGATCATGCTGGGCTTCTCACCTCTCTACCCTCAGTGGGACGGTCGGCCACCCATGCCCTGGTCCAGGCCCAGCTGATCTGCTCAGGAGCCCAGCAGGGCATGCATGCCTTTATTGTGCCCATCCGGAGTCTCGAGGACCACAGCCCACTGCCAGGTAAGCTCATGCTGCTTCCTCCAGGACCCCTGCCAGGAGACCCCACCAGGCCTCCCTGTCCTGGGGGCCCCAGAGGTCCATGGGAGAAACTGGGGCATGTCTCCCTTGGGCAGGGAGGGGTCCAGTTGTACAGGCCTGGTGCTAGCTGGCTTGATGACTATGAGCAAGGTTCAGCACCTGACCTCAGCTTGGTCACCTGCAAACAGGTATGATAACCCCAATGTCACAGGCTGCTGACAGGCTCAGATGAGCTGGAATATGGGTGTTGGTACCTAACACACAAGCACTCAACTGATGGACGTTCCTACCTCTGCCTCCTCCTAGGAATCACCGTCGGAGACATTGGGCCCAAGATGGACTTTGACCACTCGGATAATGGCTTCCTGCAACTGGACCATGTGCGCATCCCCAGGGAGAACATGCTGAGCCGCTTCGCACAGGTGGGGTCCCGGGGAGGCTGCAAGCCTGCACTGCCTGGAGAGGGGACAGAGGCACCCTGTAGACTGCTGCTGCCTCCGGGCCCTTCTCTATAGCGCTGAGTTTGGGGCACCCCTCCCAGAGAGGCTCTGGTGTCCCACAGACCTGAGTAAAAGCCCAGCTTAGGAGCTTTGTGATTTGGGGCCAGTCACTTGGCCTCTCTGAACCTCAGAGTTCTCATGGGTAAATGCTCACCTCATGGGGTGGCAGCACAATCATGGGGTAGGGTGGCAAGGCAATCTGAGGAAAAGAGGAACGGCCTGAGGATGATGTGCATATCTACCTACAGCGCAGCCTGGACACAGCCAAGTACTGGAGGAAGTTCTGGAGGTCTCCATTTTGCCAGGCATTTCCATGGGAGTGTGGGGAGCTGTGGATTGTGGGGAGGTCTGGGGTGTCACAGGAGAGGAGCAGTGAACCAAGACACTTGGGCAGTGGCTATTTAGCAACAAGCACAGGAGCGTTTCAGTTTTAAGAATCAGCGTGGCCACACCAGCACATTCTGACTGGCGGCTGGCTGTGCCTATCCCGGGTGAGCAGTTTGAGGACCGTGGTGCTTTCAGGGCATGGAGGACCACAGTTCTGGGTGTGGGGAAGGCTGGGGAGCCGTGGCTCAGACCCACTGCCTGTCCTTGGTCTACCAGGTCTTGCCAGATGGTACCTACATCAAGCTCGGAACAGCAAAGAGCAACTACCTCAGCATGGTGGTGGTGCGGGTGGACATGCTGTCAAACGAGGTCATACCACTGCTGCAGAAGGCCTGTGTCATTGCCATCCGCTACTCGGTCATACGCCACCAATCCCGGCTCCGGCCCAGGCAAGCGGCGCCCAGATGAGCCACCGCAGCCCGGGCTACCTCGATCCCACAGTGCCTACCCCCTGACACTAACCCTCCGCCAGAGTGGGGTGCTGGGAGCACACGTTACCCCCCCCCCTTGCCCACACATTCGCCTGGACCTGGCCCATCTGGTCTGTGGGGTCTCTATCTGGCTCTCTCTAATCCAGGCTGACCAGCTGGCCCAACCTATGACTGTCAGTGTCTGGCCCCATCAGGCTCTGTGTGATCTTGTGTCTCCGGCCCTGTACCACCAGATCTGACTCAGTCTGTCCAACAAACTCGGACTGTTTCAATCCAGTTGGGTATGGCTGTGACTGGCTGAGTGTATCTGGATCAGCTGGGCACCAAGCTGTGGGTGAATGTGGCTCCCAAGATTGTTCTGTCAGGTGTGAGTGACTGTGTCTGGAAAAACCTGGCTGTCACGTCAGACTATTTGGCTGCAGTTGATTCTGTCTGGTTGTGACTGCCAACATCTGACCATGGTACGTCCACGTCTGCACCCATTTTGTTGTATGTGGTTCTGTCTGGCTAATAGGTCTACTCCATGGCACCAAAGGGCTCACTGTACCCTCTGCTTTGATGTATGTGTACGCACGCATGTGCACACACACACACACAAGGTTATCAGATTCAGCAAATAAAAATACAGGACTGCCAGTTACATTTCAATTTTAGGTAAACAAATAATTTTTTAGGATAAATATGTCCCAAATGGGCACATACCCAGGATGCAGCAAACTGGAGCCTGGGCATATGGGGCCGCAGCATGAGCACAGGGAGAGAGGGTGGGGCTGGACACAGCATAACTGACCGAGCTCATGGAGCAGAGACAAGCTTTAACCTGGCAGTTCTCGCCCCAACTATAGTAAGCGCCCCTTGGCAAGTCCTTTGCCCTCTCTGGGCCTATCTTCTCACTTGTAAAGGAAAGAGTGAGGTTACCAGGACTGGAACTTGAGGATGTCTGGCTCAAGAGGCCGGTGGTGTTCCACACCATGGGCTCAAGGATCCACAGTTCTCTAACACAAAACGGGCTGAGGGTCAAACACCAGGCAGACCCGGTGCCACCCTCAGCTCCGCCACTTCCGGGAGCTTAGATTAGCCACCCCACCTCTTTGTCCCTCAGCTTCCTCGTCAACTAAATGGGCGTGACAAAAACGCTCTTCCAGGGTGGTGTTAGGGCTGAAACGCAGTGAAGCATGCCAGGCCCTCAGCCCAGGGTCCTTTACTGGCAAACCCAAATCACCCTCAGCCAGCCTGGCTTCAGAATCCCGGGCTGAGGGAGTCTTCTCTGGGGGACAGGGGAGCTGGGAAGGAGGTATTGCCAATGATATCCTGTCGCAGCCCAGTCTTCTGGGTTGCATAAGACTGGGATGGTTATAATAGTACATGTCCAGGTGAGGGGCTGCTGGCCCAGAGAAGAGACACCAGGTTTCTCCCCATCAGCCACGGGAGGCGTCTCACATTCATATCAATCCACTAATAGTTACCGAAGGCCCCTAATGCTGAACAGAGTCTCTAGCCCTGAGAACACAGCAATGGACAAGGCGGGTGCAATCCCTACCTCGGAATTCCATCCAACCCAAGTTCACATCCTCAGTTATCAATTAGGTTCCACATATTTCCCAGCACACAGCACATGCACCTGGACAGTGAAAGGTCAAGGTTCAAATAATCAGGGCTTCAGGGCCACAACCCCTCACCCAAAATCCTTGAGGCCAGATCTGTTGGAATTCAGAACTTTCCAGATTTTTAGCAGGTTAATACGGTGCGTATACTGTAAACCTCCACAAGGGGCAGCACCCATAAGCGGACATGTTAATATTTCTACAGTGAAATGTGTGGATATTCATGTTAGATGGAATTTTAAGATTATTACTAGCGTCACGTCAGTCTACGTCAAATTTTGCGGTGAGCTATAAAAAACTGTCCGTTTTTAAGGCTTTTATGGCATTGGGGATATGGGAAGATGGATGTGGCAGGTAGCAAATCTTCTGCTTTTCTTCCCCTCAGTGACCCAGAGGTAAAAGTCCTGGACTACCAGACGCAGCAGCAGAAACTCTTTCCTCCGCTGGCCAAGGCCTATGCATTCCACTTTGTGGCAAAGAGCCTCTTGGAATTCTTCCATCGCTCCTACAGTTCCATTCTGGACAGAGACTTCAGACTCCTGCCTGAGGTATACCTGCTTTCTCTGGGGGGCAGGAGCTGGGACCATGGCTGAAATGGTCCTCCCACTGGGAAGCAGCCCCAATCCTGCGCCCATGGGCTCTTTCCACTTTCTCCCTCTGCAGACTTCCAACATCCCAGGTGAACTGTACCCTGACATATAAATCCACCTACATCTGGCCCCCAGGAAGCTCCAAACATGTTAGAGGAAATGATCACAGATAGTGTATAGAACACAGGTGCACAATCCCTGGTGTGTTCTTTTGTTTTTATAAATTTATTTATTTATTTATTTTTGGCTGTGTTGGGTCTTCGTTGCTGCGCGCAGGCTTTCTCTAGTTGCGGCGAGCGGGGGCTACTCTTCCTTGCAGTGCGCGGGATTCTCATTGCAGTGGCTTCTCTATTTTTTTTTAATACAGCAGATTTTTATTTTTTTTTAATACAGCAGGTTCTTATTAGTTATCTATTTGATACATATTAGTGTAAACATGTCAATCCCAATCTCCCAATTCATCACACCACCCCCAACCCCACTTTCTCCCCTTGGTGTTTGTTCTCTACATCTGTGTCTCTATTTCTGCCTTGTAAATGGGTGCATCTGTACCATTTTTCTAGATTCCACATATATGCGTTCATATACGATATTTGTTTTTCTCTTTCTGACTTACTTCACTCCATATGACAGTCTCTAGGTCCATTCACATCCCTACAAATGACCCAATTTCGTTCCTTTTTATGGCTGAGTAATATTCCATTGTATATATGTACCACATCTTCTTTACCCATTCGTCTGACAATGGGCATTTATGTTGGTTGCATGTCCTGGCTATTGTAAATAGTGCTGCAATGAACATTAGGATGCATTTGTCTTTTTGAATTATGGTTTTCTCTGGGTATGCCCAGTAGTGGGATTGCTGGGTCATAGGGTAATTCTATTTTTAGTTTTTTAAGGAACCTCCATACTATTCTCCATAGTGGCTGTATCAATTTACATTCCTACCAACAGTGCAGGAGGGTTCCCTTTTCTCCACACCCTCTCCAGCATTTGTTGTTTGTAGATTTTCTGATGATGCCAATTCTAACTGGTGTGAGGTGATACCTCATTGTAGTTTTGATTTGCATTTCTCTAATAATTAGTGATGTTGAGCAGTTTTTCATGTGCCTCTTGGCCATCTGCATGTCTTCTTTGGAGAAATGACTATTTAGGTCTTCTGCTCATTTTTTGATTGGGTTGTTTGCTTTTTTAATATTGAGCTGCATGAGCTGTTTATATATTTTGGAGATTAATCCTTTGTTGATTCATGTGCAAATATTTTCTCCCATTCTGAGGGTTGTCTTTTCATCTTGTTTATAGTTTCCTTTGCTGTGCAAAAGCTTTGAAGTTTCATTAGGTCCCATTTGTTTATTTTTGTTTATATTTCCATTACTCTAGGAGGTGGGTCAAAAAAGATCTTGCTGTGATTTAGGTCAAGAGTGTTCTGCCTATGTTTTCCTCTAAGAGTTTTATAATGTCTGGCCTTACATTTAGGTCTTTAATCCATTTTGAGTTTATTTTTGTGTATGGTGTTAAGGAGTGCTCTAATTTCATTCTTTTACATGTAGCTGTCCAGTTTTCCCAGCACCACTTATTGAAGGCACTGTCTTTTCTCCATTGTATATCCTTGCCTCCTTTTTCATAGATTAGCTGACCACAGGAGTGTGGTTTTATTGCTGGCCTTTCTATCCTGTTCCATTGATCTATATTTCTGTTTTTGTGCCAGTACTGTATTGTCTTGATTACTGTAGCTCTGTTGTATAGTATGAAGTCAGGGAGTCTGATTCCTCCAGCTCCGTTTTTTTCCCTCAAGATTGCTTTGGCTATTCGGGGTCTTTTGTGTCTTCATACAAATTTGAAGATTTTTTGTTCTAGTTCTGTAAAAAATGCCACTGATAATTTGATAGGGATTGCACTGAATCTGTAGATTGCTTTGGGTGGTACAGTCATTTTCACAATATTGATTCTTCCAAACCAAGAACATGGTATATCTCTCCATCTGTTTGTATCATCTTTGATTTCTTTCCTCAGTGTCTTATACTTTTCTGAGTACAGGTCTTTTACCTCCTTAGGTAGGTTTATTCCTAGGTATTTTATTCTTTCTGTTACAATGGTGAATGGGATTGTTTCCTTAATTTCTCTTGCTGATCCTTCATTGTTTAGTGTATAGGAATGCAAGAGATTTCTGTGCATTAATTTTGTATCCTGCAACTTTACCAAATTCATTGATTAGGTCTAGTAGTTTTCTGGTGGCATCTTTAGGATTCTCTATGTATAGTGTCATGTCATATGCAAACAGTGATCCAGTTTTACTTCTTCTTTTCCAATTTGGATTCCGTTTATTTCTTCTTCTCTGATTGCTGTGGCTAGGACTTCCAAAACTATGTTGAATAATAGTGGCGAGAGTGGACATTCTTGTCTTGTTCCTGATCTTAAAGGAAATGCTTTCAGTTTTTCACCACTGAGAATGATTCCTGCTGTGGGTTTGTCATATATGGTTTTTATTATGTGGAGGTAGGTTCCCTCTCTGCCCACTTTCTGGAGAGTTTTTATCATAAATTGGTGCTGAATTTTGTCAAAAGCTTCTTCTGCATCTATTGAGATGATCATATGGTTTTTATTCTTCTATTTGTTAATATGGTGTATCACATTGATTGATTTGTGTATATTGAAGAATCCTTGCATCCCTGGGATAAATCCCACTTGATCACGGTATATGATCTTTTTAACGTGTTGTTGGATTCTGTTTGCTAGTATTTTGTTGAGGATTTTTGCATCTATATTCATCAGTGATATTGGTCTCTAATTTTCTTTTTTTGTAGAATCTTTGTCTGGTTTTGGTATCAGGGTGATGGGGGACTCATAGAATGAGTTTGGGAGTGTTCCTTCCTCTGCAATTTTTTGGAAGAGTTTGAGAAAGATGGGTGTTACCTCTTCTCTAAATGTTTGATAGAATTCACCTATGAAGCCATCTGGTCCTGGACTTTTGCTTGTTGGAAGATTTTTAATCACAGTTTCAACTGCATTACTTGTGATTGGTCTGTTATTTTCTATTTCTTCCTAGTTCAGTCTTAGAAGGTTATACCTTCTAGGAATTTGTCCATTTCTTCCAGGTTGTCCATTTTATTGGCATAGAGTTGCTTGTAGTAGTCTCTTTTGATGTGCTGCGGTGTCTGTTGTAAGTTCTCCTTCTTCATTTCTAATTTTACTGATTTGAGTCCTCTCCCTCTTTTTCTTGTTGAGTCTGGCTAAAGGTTTATCAATTTTATCTTCTCAAAGAACCAGCTTTTAGTTTTATTGCTCTTTGCTATTGTTTTCCTTGTTTCTATTTCATTTATTTCTGCTCTTATCTTTATGTTTCTTTCCTTCTACTAATTTTGGGTTTTCTTTGTTCTTCTTTCTCCAGTTCCTTTAGGTGTAAGGTTAGATTGTTTATTTGAAATTTTTCTGGTTTCTTGAGGTAGGATTGTATTGCTATAAACTTCCCTCTTAGAACTGCTTTTGCTGCATCCCATAGGTTTTGGATCATCGTGTTTTGTTGTCATTTGTCTCTAGGTATTTTTTGATTTCCTCTTTGATTTCTTCAGTGATCTCTTGGTTATTTAGTAATGTATTGTTTAGCTTCCACGTGTTTGTGTTTTTTATGGGGTTTTTTCCCTGTAATTTATTTCTAATCTCATAGTGCTGTGGTCAGAAAAGATGCTTGATATGATTTCAATTTTCTTAAACTTACCGAGGCTTGATGTGTGACCCAAGATGTGATCTGTCCTGGAGAATGTTCCGTGTACACTTGAGAAGAAAGTGTAATCTGTTGTTTTTGGATGAAATGTCCTATAAATATCAATTAAATTTATCTGGTGTATTGTGTCATTTAAAGCTTGTGTTTCCTTATGAATTTTCTGTTTGGATGATCTGTCCATTGGTGTAAGTGAGGTGTTAAAGTCCCCCACTATGATTGTGTTACTGTCGATTTCCTCTTTTATAGCTGTTAGCAGTTGCCTTATGTATTGAGGTGCTCCTATGTTGGGTGCATATATATTTATAATTGTTATATCTCCTTCTTGGATTGACCCCTTGATCATTATGTAGTGTCCTTCCTTGTCTCTTGTAACATTCTTTATTTTAAAGTCTATTTTATCTGAAATGAGTATTGCTACTCCAGCTTTCTTTTGATTTCCATTTGCATGGAATACCTTTTTCCATTCTCTCACTTTCAGTCTGTATGTGTCCCTAGGTCTGAAGTGGGTCTCTTGTAGACAGCATATATATATATATACACGGGTCTTGTTTTTGTATCTATTCAGCAAGCTTATGCCTTTTGTTTGGAACATCTAATCCATTTACATTTAAGGTAATTATGGATATGTATGTTCCTATTACCATTTTCTTAATTGTTTTGGGCTTGTTTTTGTAGGTCCTTTTCTTCTTTTGTGTTTTCCACTTAGAGACGTTCCTTTAGCATTTGTTGTAGAGCTGGTTTGGTGGTGCTGAATTCTCTTAGCTTTTGCTTGTCTGTAAAGCTTTTGATTTCTCTATCAAATCTGAATGAGATCCTTGCCTGGTAGAGTAACCTTGGTTGTACATTCTTCCCTTTCATCACTTTAAGTATATCTTGCCACTCCCTTCTGGCTTGTAGAGTTTCTGCTGAGAAATCAGCTTTTAACCTTACAGGGGTTCCCTTGTATGTTATTTGTCATTTTTCCCTTGTTGCTTTTAATAATTTTTCTTTGTCTTTAATTTTTGTAAATTTGATTACTGTGTGTCTTGGCGTGTTTCTCCTTGGGTTTATCCTGCCTGGGACTCTGCACTTCCTGGACTTGGGTGGCTATTTCCTTTTCCATGTTTGGGGAGTTTTCGACTATAATCTCTTCAAATATTTTCTCTGGTCCTTTCTCTCTCTATTCTCCTTCTGGGACCCCTAAAATGCGAATGTGGTGTGTTTAATGTTCCAGAGGTCTCTTAGGCTGTCTTCATTTCTTTTCATTCTTTCTTCTTTTTTCTGTTCTGTGGCAATGAATTCTACCATTCTGTCTTCCAGGTCACTTATCTGTTCTTCTGCCTCGGTTATTCTGCTATTGATTCCTTCTAGTATAGTTTTCACTTCAGTTATTGAATTGTTCATCTGTGTTTGTTTGTTCTTTAATTCTTCTAGGTCTTTGTTAAACATTTCTTGCATCTTCTCAATCTTTGCCTCCATTCTTTTTCCGAGGTCCTGGATCATCTTCACTATCATTATTCTGAATTCTTTTTCTGGAAGGTTGCCTGTCTCCACTTCATTTAGTTGTTTTTCTGGGGTTTTATCTTGTTCCTTCATCTGGTACATAGTCCTCTATCTTTCTCTGAATGTGGTTTTCGTTCCACAGGCTGCAGGACTGTAGTTCTTCTTGCTTCTGCTGTCTGCCCTCTGGTGGATGAGGCTATCTAAGAGGCTTATGCAAGCTTCTTGATGGTAGGGACTGGTGGTGGTAGAGCTGGGTGTTGCTCTGGTGGGCAGAGCTCAGTAAAACTTTAATCTGCTTGTCTGCTAATGGGTGGGGCTGAGTTCACTCCCTGTTGGGTGCTTGGCCTGAGATGATCCAGCACTGGAGGCTACAGGCTCTTTGGTGGGGCTAATGGCGGACTCCGGGAGGGTTCATGCCAAGGAGTACTTCCCAGATCTTCTGCTTCCGGTGTCCTGGTCCCCGCAGTGAGCCAAGCCACCCCCCACCTCTGCAGGAGACCCTCCAACACTAGCAGGTAGGTCTGGTTCAGTCTCCTATGGGGTCATTGCTCCTTCCCCTGGGTCCTGATGTGCACACTACTTTGTGTGTGCCCTCCAAGAGTGGAGGCTCTGTTTCCCCCAGTCCTGTTGAAGTCCTGCAATCAAATCCCACTAGCCTTCAAAGTCTGATTCTCTGGGAATTCCTCCTCCCAGGTCCTTTGCCAGACCCCCAGGTTGGGAAGCCTGACGTGGGGCTCAGAACCTTCACTCCAGTGGGTGGACTTCCGTGGTATAAGTATTCTCCAGCTTGTGACTCACCCACCCAGTGGTTATGGGATTTGATTTTACTGTGATTGCGCCCCTTCTATCGTCTCATTGCAGCTTCTCCTTTGTCTTTGGATGTGGGGTATCTTGAACTTTTTTGGTGAATTCCAGTGTCTTCCTGTCGATGACTGTTCAGCAATTAGTTGTGATTCCAGTGCTCCCGCAAGAAGAAGTGAGCTCATGTCCTCCTATTTCACCACCTTGAACCAATCTCTCTTCTCTTGTTGCGGAGCAGGGGCTCTAGGCACGGGTTTCAGTAGTTGTGGTAAGCAGGCTCAGTAGTTGTGGCTCGCGGGCTCTAGAGCACAGGCTCAGTAGCTGTGGCACACAGGTTTAGCTGCTCTGCGGCATGTGGGATCTTCCCAGACCAGGGATCGAACCCGTGTCCCCTGCACTGGCAGGCAGATTCTTAACCACTGCGCCACCAGGGAAGTCCCCCCTGGTGTGTCTCTGAAACCTGGAAAGCTCTGAAAACCAAAAGTCATTTAGAACTCATTTGGTGGCACAGTTTGACCTGAATTAAGCTGATTTATCCCACTGAGTGTGAATACATTTTGCAGCTGAAAATATTAATACATTGGATCACTAGGGTCTCCCTGGACTCCTCTAGGGGTATTATATATAATCTACCTTAAATGCGCTGCTTTACCTTTCTAAAATTCAAAACATATCTGATTCCAAAACGCATCTGGGCCCAAGATTCTCAGATAAAGGACAGTGGACTTACATACAGATTTGGTCTGTCCAGGCTCTCTGCTTTGTAAGCATTGCTTCAGCAATCCTTCCAACTGTACCGCAGGCACCATTTGTATACCCATTTTACAGATGAGGAAAGTGAAGCACAGAGAGGTTAAGGGACATGACCCTTCCTCCCAAGGACTTGAAAGTGTGAAAGATGGGTAAGGGCTTTCAAGAACCAAAAACTCAAACCAGGTTGGCTGCCTGGCAGCCCCTCCTACAACCCAGAGCAGTGGGCTGATGGTGGACCTGCATCCTCACAGACAAGCCCTCCAAAACCTCTCCCTGCCAGCAAAATCCACAGCTCCTGGATAATGGTGAGACCAATCCTAGAAGCACTCTCTTCCCAAGATCCTGGAGACACTGGTCTAGACAGTTTTCCTTCGTTCTTATTGCCCCTACAGCGACACTGCCTCTTTTTATGACCTTGGGTGAGTCATGTAACCCGAGTCTCAGTCTTCTCATTCATAAAGCTGTGAGCTGAGGAAACAGTTCTTATCTCACAGAGCTGTTCTCAGCATAGAGTGGGCGCTCCATGAGTGGTAAGCATGGCTGTAACTGAACGGTCCCTTAGGCCACCTGACCCCCTTCCTGTTTTTGCAGCTTCACGCACTGAGTGCAGGTATGAAGGCCTTGGTGTCGGACTTCTGCGTCCAGGGGGCTGAGCTGTGCCGCAGGGCCTGTGGTGGACATGGCTACTCGAAGCTGAGCGGCCTGCCCTCCCTGGTCACCAGAGTGACAGCCTCCTGCACCTACGAGGGTGAGAACACGGTGCTCTACCTGCAGACAGCCAGGTAAGGCCCACGTCTCTGTCCAACCCTCAGGGACCCCACCAAGCTTCTGCCTGGGTTGAAGCACCATCTGATGCCCACAGAGGGAGCAGACTTTGGGGACCACCGTCTGCAGACTGTCCAACTCCCACATTATGTCTCCAATCCATCCACTTCTCCCCAGACTCATGCAGCTCCCAGCCAGGCTACCACACCCTCCACCGGGACAACATCAATCTCCTCACTGGTCGGCTGCTTCCACCCTGCCCCACTTCCGTCCTTCCTCCACAGGCAGCCAGGGGGATTTTTTTTAAGCCTAAAGAAGATCACATCTTTCCCTTGCTTGAAATTCTTCAATGGCTTCCCACCGCTCACAGGAAGATGCCACAGTCCACACTGTGGCCTGCAAGGACCTTAAGACATGGTCCCTGCCTCCCCTCCATCCTCTCACAACCTTCTCCTCTGCTCACTTTGCCAGCCACACGTTTCTTCTTCGGGGCCTGCACACTCACTTCCCTCCCCCTAATCCTCTCCACCGCCAGGCTCCTCCTCATCTTCAGGTCTCAGCTAAAATGACACTTCCTTCAGATGCCCCCCCCCACTGCGTCTCTTTTTGTGTGACGGGCCTTGAGGGCAGGGAGTCTGCCGGCCTTGTTCACTGTAGCATCTCCAGGTTCAGCACAGGGTCTGCACCAGGAGGCTCCAACCTGAAAGGCAGGGAGGAATGGCTGATTCCCCCTCCCCGCAACAGGCAGTTTCTTTCTCTCTCTCTTATGTCTGTGGGTCTTGTGGCTGACCAGGCCTTTCACGTGCGTCTATCTCAGGTGAGTAGACAGGCCAAATACTTCTCCAGGCAGGGAGAAAGGACCTGCTGGCAAATTGGCTATGTAACATTTCTTTAAAAAATTTTAAACATACAACATTTGTTTTTTCTTTTCAAATTACAAAAGGAATACAAAATCATGTATTAGATACTCTATGCCCCGCACTGTGCCAAGTGCTCTGCAAATATTATCTCATTCAGTTTTCCCAAACCCCCTCTCAGGTGACCCCATCCTCATCTAGAGATGGAGGCACTGAGGCTGAGGGAAGTGAAGCGTGGAGCTGCAGAGGAATCCAGGGTTGTCTGACCCAGAGCCGCTAACCATTGGATTAGCACAAGGAAGAAGCTATGAGTCACCTGTAGTTCTCCTATACATGCTTGCAATCTTGTATCTATCCTTTTATGAGCTAAGAAAATTTAATTTCCACCATCACTGTACAATTCATCATAAATCCCCGAATCATAAGATCTTAACCAAGAGAAAAGATTGTTTGTTCAGGTATCAAAAGAATTTATGTTCATGGTCTGAGAATGTCTGCGGTCTACAGCTCCAGCTCCATTTCACTGTGAAAGAAGCTACAGCCTCGGGATGCATTTCGGCTTTTGAGTGAAGAGTAGCTATCAGTAGGGACCTGGGAAAGAAAGTGGGTGGCCTTGGTTCTCCCACGGGGAGCATAAGAGTGCATGACGCTGGGAGAGGGGTGCTGGGCTGTCCCTCAGGGCTCCCCACCCTCTCACCTGCTGGTACCCCTGCCCCCTAGGTTTCTGGTGAAGAGCTACCTGCAGGCTCAGGAGTCCACATCACAGAGGTCTCTCCCTCAGTCTGTTGCATACCTGACTGCACCTGACCTGGCCAAGTGCCCAGCCCAAAATGTAGCCGACTTCCTCCACCCAGAGCTTTACACCACGGCCTGGGCACACGTGGCAGCCAGGTAAGCCAAGCTCAGAAATCAACCATCCCACCTGGGGGCAGGCTCCTTCCCACTAAGGCCTTTGGGACTGGCTGGGTGGACATTCTAGGATACTCTTCCAAAAACCACCCCCTTCCCCAACCTCCTCAGTCCTCTCAGCTCCTGCCACCAGGGGCAGAAAGGAGAATTCACCTGTCAGCCATGGACCACTATCACTTCCCCATCCTGGTCAAGATAGTAGGAAGACATCACCTCTCTAGCCAGTGCAAGGAATTTTTAAAATCTTTAGGTTCTCACTGTGGTTTGCATTACAAAGAATGTACCCATATGTAAATACTACATATGTATTGGTACGTAAATACTAATAAATAAAGCAATACAGTCATCCATCTGTATCTGCAGGGGATTGGTTCCAGGACCCCTGCGGATACCAAACTCCCAGGATGCACAAGTCCCTTCTATAAAATGGGATATTTGCAGATTTGCAATATTATGTGTAGGTATTTGCATATGCACATCCTCCCATTTACTTTAAATCATCTCTAGATTACTTATAATACCCAATAAAATGTAAATATTATGTAAATAGAATGCAAATGATATGTAAATAGTTGCCAGCGTGCAGCAAATTCTATTTTTGCTTTTTGGAACTTTCTAGAATGTTTTTTTCCAAATATTTGATTCTTGGTTGAATCTGAAGATGTGGAAACTGTGGATACAGAGGGAAAACTGTGCTCACATATTCGAAATATCCCACAATCTAAAAATAATTTTCAAAAATGTGACTATAACAAGGGATAGTATATGTTTATTTCCAGGGTCTAGTAGGCTCCAGGTAACACAGACAAGACCAAGGACTCCTCCATTCTGTCATCCAGCAAATATCGTCGGACACTTACTGTATGTCAGGAATGTCCAAACATGCCAGGGGGCTGGGAATAAAGACACCATCATGGAAAAGGTGGAGAGATTTAGCTACCTAGAAAGGAAAACTTCTGAGCCCCTCCCCAACTAAAACACCATAAAATCCTGGAAAAAAATAGTTTCATTATATAATATGAGGTCTTATATCCCAACCTGTGGTCTCAGGGATGGTTAATAGTCATTTCAAGATCACAAGCAACTTGGGACATTCATTTATGTTTTACCACAAATATTTAGTACCTATAATCTGCCAGGCACTGTTCCAGTCACTAGGGATCTATCAGTAAACCAGTCCGACAAAAAGCCCAGGCCTCGGGCTTCCCTGGTAGCACAGTGGTTAAGAATCTGCCTGCCAATGCAGGGGATATGGGTTCGAGCCCTGGTCCGAAAGATCCCACATGCCACAGAGCAACTAAGCCCGTGCGCCACAACTACTGAGCCTGCGCTCTAGAGCCCACAAGCCATAACTACTGAGCCTGCATGTTGCAACTACTGAAGCCCATGAGCCTAGAGCCTGTGCTCCACAAGAGAAGCCCCCGCAATGAGAAGCCCACACACCGCAACGAAGAGTAGCCCCTGCTCGCCGCAACTAGAGAAAGCCCACACGCAGCAACGAAGACCCAATGTAGGGGAAAAAAAAAAAAAAAAAAAAAAAAGCCCAGGTCTCACAGAACTAACATTTCAGTTGGAGCAGTGGGGCAGGCAAAATAAGGCTGCTCAGGGTAATTAAAATGCCATCAAAGTTGGTCTTCTATATCCCCAGATGCAGAACCTGTGAATAAGGAGGGTGACCATACTACACTTTTATACCAGGACTTGAGTATCTCGACTTTGGTATCTGTGGTGGTCCTGGAACCAATCCCCCCAGAGATACCAAGGGACGGCTGTATATTGCTTTTTGCTTAGAACTCAATGTGACATGTGCTTATCTATCCCATGACAAAGCAAAATAAGTATTGCTTAATAAACAGTTTGTTTTGCATACAAATTCCAAGGGTCATGAGTGGATGGGCAGGGAATAGAAAATAAAAGAATAAAGGTTAACTAAATGGCAAATTACCAATTTCGTGGTTTGGAGAACAAGGATTGGTTTTCTTTTCTCCTCTTTTCTTTTTTTTAAGGTCCCTTTGGTAGAACTTAGAGCAGACTGGGTGACTGACAGGCTTCACCAGCCTTCAGAGGAAAACCACTCTCCTTGCTCAGGCATAGGAAGTCAGTCAGTTGAATGGCCTGAAAACACTGGTATCAGGATGGAGTCTGCATTAGAAAGAAGGGGTGGTGCCTGGCCCAGGGCCCTGAGGCTTTACAGCCAGGAGGTTAAGAACAGCTCCACTCCTTATTAGCTACGTGACCCTGGACCAGTTAATTAGCCTCTCTAGCACTCAGTGTTCCCCACTGCAAATTGGGAATGCCTACTCTTAAAAGGGTTAAAGAGATAATGTATATCAAGTATTTAGGTTTGTAACACAAACAAATGGTCAATAAATTGGTATTATTTCTACTTCTGTGGGACCCCAGGCAGCCTGGGACCAAATGCCACCCATCTCTTCCCCACTTGTTCAAAAACAGAACCTTTTTTCTTTGGCCTTTAGGCTCATAAAGGACTCAGTGCATCATTTACAGACTCTCATGCAATCTGGGGCTGACAGGCACGAGGCATGGAACCAGACCACTGTCATACATCTCCAGGCCGCCAAGGTGAGCTGCCCATCAGCTAAAGCTGAAAGAGACCTGTTTTGTTTCCCCAGCAGGTTGTCCTGCTGAGAAAATCAGAACTCTGCCATTATTCCCCAGCCCTGCTCAGTGGCTGCCTTCATTTGACTTTCGAGGCTTTAGTCCAGGGTATTTTAATTAAAGGACTTAACTCCAAAGCAATCTTACTGGCAGCTCTTAGGGAAAAAGTGTAATGAGGCAGTGTTATTGGATTTGCTTCAGGTTGTTCAATATTTCCTCCCAGATAGAAAAGCAGGTCAAGTCTCTCCTCAGCCCCACAGGCAATCCTTAGATGTCTGATTCCATTTCCACTACGTTTTGTGTTTGCGCATAATTCACAGTCAGTCAGCAAATATTTGAGCACCCACTCAACATCAGCCATCAGGCTGGGTACTGGGGGCTCAACAGTGTCCACAGACGGCTGCGATCAGGAAAGCACTGTCACGGGGAAATACAGGCTGCCACAAGATCCCAGAGCAGGTGCAAGTCTACCCACCTTGAGGAGTCAGAAAGGCTTCTCAGAAGCGGCGTATAGGCCAGGACTGCAAGGATGAGCTGAAATTAACCAGGCAAGGGGTGGAGGCTGTGGCTTTGGACAGGAAGGTGTCCCAGCAAAGGGATGAGGAGGTGTAGAAGGAGGAGGCAAGAAAAGGCATGGTGCTTGGGAGGAGATGTACATCCTTCCAAGGAGAACCTAAAGGAAGAAGACAAACCAGGACAGGAAGGAGGATAGGGGAGGAGGAAAGATAGGCAAGGCCTGGCACCTTCTGCTCCACTGTGAGAAGTCTGGCTTCTGTTTCTCATTGCAGTGGGAAGCCTCTGCAGGGTCTGTATCAGAGGAGCGAAGCGATCAGTTTCATTCTACAAGGATCATACAGGCTTCAGGGGGTGGAATGGACTGGAGGCTAAAGGCCAGGACGGAGCAGGCAGCAGCAGTCTGGGCAAGCGCTGAGGGTGAGCCAGACCATGAATCTGCCAGAGGGCACGGAGAGAAGCGGGTAGATGCAGAGATATTAAGGGTGTAGGAGAAAGGGACGGGCTTCAGAGAGCAATGCAGTGGGAAGGAGGTAGGAATGACTGCTGAGCTCTAGCTAAGGCAGCTGGGACTCTGGCCCTACCTACAGCTGGAAAACCAAGGTGTTCCCTTCAATCCTCAGGCAGCAGGCCCCAAAAATAGCAGGCTAGAACAGCGGAGCCCAGAAGCGTTTTGCAGCCTCCCTCATGGGGCGGGCGGGGCAGGGCTGGTCAGGCAGGCTGGGCATGAGCGCCACCTGGTGACCTGCCACCTCCATCACATCGGCCGGCGCCGGTATTGACTCTGCCACCCTCCATTCCGCTCCGGCCGTCACAGAGGCACACCCCTGCTGTGTCAAATGTCCGGTCAACATAGAAGAGGGTAAGCAAATGCTGTGCTCTCACCAGACACCTAAAAAGGAGCCACACCTGCCCATTATTCGCCTGCTTTCCAAACCCATGGCCGGCCATGCACCAGACACTGCTTGCCAGGGTTACCTCATATTAAATGACCCTGAGAGGGAAAGTAAGCATAGCCTCAGTTTTAAGGATGAGCGGGTTCCTGGGAAGGCGGTGCCCAAACCGAGTCTCTAAAGTCATAATGCGCAGGGAAATCTGCGCTTTCTGGTCTTTGGGCTCTGGGAGGACATCTACTCTACAGAAACCTCAAGTACCCAACTGGGTCTCATCTGGAAACCACAAATGTGTAGGTAGAGTGACGGCAACACGAGGGGGGGTGGGGAACAGTGGCAGAGGGGTGGAGGAGGAGGATCGGACCCTGGCCTAAGTTCTGGTCCCAGCCCATTATAATCTCGCCTCAGTCTCTGGTGGCTTTGGCAACACAGCACAGCGGTTAACAGTACAAACTTAACCGAGAGGCAGACTACCCTGGTTTGGATCTCACTGCTACCACCCACCAGCCAGTGCTTGGGCAGGCAAGGAACTTAATCTCTCGATGCCTCAGAGGCCTCATCTGCAAAATGGAGCTACTGATAGTACCTAACTTGTAGGATTATTGTGAAGATTAAATGGGTTAATACCTGTACAACTTGAAGAGCCACCTAGGCTATAAATGCTACACATCCCACCCCCACCCCTAAATTAGGCAGGAAGCAAGACTGAAACAGACACACACACACACTAATAAATAAAGTTCATTGTGTTCAGAGCATGGTGCCAAGGTTTGGCTCAGCCTTTCCCCAAAGGAAGAGGCCACCTTCCTCTCTCTGGTCCTCCTCCTGCTTTGTAAGGCAGAGGCCCTTGGGCAGCTCTTCATCACTCCACTCTTAAACCCAGGTCCCTGAGAATTTAAGGATGTGGCTCTCGAATTAGAAAAGGGAAACCGGGCCTAAGTGAAAAAAGTGAGGCTCTCCAGCTGTGCCAAACTGGGTCCAGTTTGAACACCAAGGGCTGTCTGACCCAGCAGGGGCAGCAAAGCACATCTTCTCCTTTTCCATATTCAAATGCTGCAAACCCAGCATGGCTGTGAGCACCCCAGGTCCAGGTGGCAAAGTGGTATTGTTAGCACCCACGTGAGGCCTCCCTGGGAAAGGCAGATCTACTCCAAGTGAGAAACCTCATCAGGTCACTGGCCTGTTGAAGACTCTGGTGGCCCCCTGACCCCCACAGAATAAAATCCCAACCACGTCATTCACAGCCCTTCATCGACCTGGGTCCCAATTGCCCATCCACCCTGACTTTCACAGTTCCCTGTCATCACCTCACCTTACCCTTAAATTGCTGCAGCCTCCTGAAAGTATAGCCCTGTGCCCGTGCAGTTCTCCCTTGCCTAAGAATGACTATTACCCTCATTCCTTGTCCCTCGGGTAAATTCCTTTGATCCCTCGAGACACTCTAAGCCTTGCTACTTCAAGTCACTACCAGCAGTATGGGCATCACTGGGGAGCTATTCCAAAATCTGCATTTTGACAAAATCCCCAGGTAATCTGTACACACATAAAAATTTGAGAAGACCTAATATATATGCTCTCCTTTTCTCTCTCCTCCCATAGAACTCGTATATCCTACCAGATAAAAATAATGTGCATTTGTCTTAGGGAGAAGGGTTTAATAACCAGTAAGGCAGGAGCACCCACCAATCAGAAAGGACTTCAGACCTAAGGGAAAAGCGTCCTGCTGGGTCGGGCGGCGTTAAACCTTTAGTTGCTGGGCTGTGTGGAGGAGGGGCATCCCTGGGAAGAAGGCTGGCAGAGGGGGTTCTTGCCAGTTGAAGGCAGTGGTCACTTACCAACCAGCATCAAAGTATTACTTTAACCACCGACAAAGCCGGACTGTTGTATATGGGCTAAATAGCTTACCTCAAGGAGTTTACAGTCTAGCTAGGATAAATTTCATGTACATCTTGAACCTCTGTTCTCTCACTTCAAGGCACACACATACACATACACACACACACACACACACACACAACCACTGCCTTGAACACAGCAGACAATAAGTAGCTGTTTTCTTGAGAAAAGCAGTGCTGTCCTCCACTGTCCCCAGGTCAGCCTCCAATACTGCTGTATTCTCTCTCTCTGCTTTCAAACCTACTTGACTGGCCCAAGGAAAATGAGGAAACTAAGGACCAAGCTCCAGAGCCCACCAGCCGCCAGCACACGCACACACACACACGTGCACACACCCCTGTCAAAAAGGCTCAGACGCAGTGAGCTAGTAGAAAGGCAGCGCTTGTCAGCCTGCTGGGAAACACATGGCCACAGCAAGCTTATTCCAGTAGTTTTGCCAAGCTTCCAGGATGACTTGTCGAGGCAGAAATCAGAGGCTAACGCATCTCTGTGTCTTTGTAGGCACACCTCTACTATGTCACTGTGAAGATTTTTACAGAAGCTCTGGAGAAACTGGAAAATCAACCAGCAATTCAGCAGGTGCTCAAACGCCTCTGTGATCTCTATGCTTTACATGGCATCATGACTAACACGGGCGACTTTCTCCATGATGGCTTCCTATCCGGCGCCCAAATAGATGTGGCAAGAAAAGCCTACCTGGACCTTCTCCTCCTCATCCGGTGAGTGGCTGCCCTAAGCCCTTTGTTCACTTCAAACTCCAAAACCTTCAACTCTAAAACCTTGTTAAATGGGGGTCTGGCAAAAGCAGCAGCAGCCCTGGACAGGTTTACATCCTAGCATCATTACACCAACGTAAAGCATTATGAATTAATGAAAGGAAAAAATGGGGGAAAAATCGCAACTAAAAATGCTTAAGAATAAATTATCTAGCTACCTCAATCGAACTCTTCAACATTGTCCAGAAATGACAGAATCTACAGAATATGAATAAAAGCATACTACATATTAATAATATTAATGAGCCTTGGTCTTAGCTAATACTTAAGGAACACTTATGCGTGGCAGGCACTATGCCAAAAGCTTTTATATACATCATCTCATTTAACCCTGACAGGGTTCTGAAGTGGATACTATTACGCTCCCCATTTTACAGGGGAGGAAATTCAGGCTTAGGGCCCAAGGTCACACAGTGAGCCAGAGGAGGGTCTGGGTACAATCGAGGACCTGTCTGCCTCCAGAGCATGTGCTCTTAAACTGTATGTTAAAGTGAAGGTTGGGCTATTGTTTATTTCAAACGTATCCTTATCTTTGTTGAATATGCTTAGTTGACTAAGCTCACTTTAATACTCCCTCAGCTTCAAGACGACATTTTTAAAATCTAGTAATTCACATGCTGATTTGTAACACAATAATATAGTTTTTATATGCAGCATAAGGCGGTGCAGTTTAGGGTCATGACATACTAATGCAATACTTTCATCCTGTCACTTACATAGAATCTAAATGATCACTTTAAAAACATATAAAAACCAAAGCCCCAACATGACCAGGGCACTGGAAGAAACAGAAATTAATACTAATTAGTAACCATTGTCCATAAGATGGAAAATGAGCTAACTTGATAACGCCACCTTTTCTGAAAAAATAGGATGCCTGTTGTGTATGTTGGGGGCTGGATGTGGTATGACACATGTGTATATGACTTTTCCCCTAGAACCTCCAATAGTTCACATTATCAACAAGACTAAGAACAAAAAGAAAGGGGAATTCACTGGCAGTCCAGTGGTTAAGACTCTGCGCTTCCACTGCAGGGGGCATGGGTTCGATCCCTGGTCAGGGAAATGAGATCCCGCATCCCACGCGGCCCAGCCAATAAATAAAGATTTGAATTTTTTTTTATAAAATAAGATATTCATGAAGGAGGTTTTAAAAAACACTAAACCAGGTTCTTTTTCTTTCTAACAATATGCAACATGTTACATATGACTCCAAATAAGCACCTAACAGATATTTGGTGGTCAGTAAATGTCTGTTCAATTAAATCTTCAAAAATTATCAAAAACTACCTTTGATATAATTATTCCCTGGGTATTAAACTTTCCCTAATATAGAGAATCCAGTGGTGGGAACCATTAATAGCATGATTGAGTACTGCACAGTTCAAGCCCAAGCGTATCTAACTTTCTGAAACGCTTGGCATTTAAAAGCACATGAAGACAATAATGTTCTAGCCCTGATTGCCAGTGATAATGAAACACAAACGATCACCTTAATACCTATAAGCATGATTTTTTTAATCTCCAACAGCACGCTAAGTGCTTCCCTTGGCCCCAGAGGCTTACAATTCAAGACAAGAAAGACAGCACTGACACAAATAGACAACTTATGCATGCATCAAACCCACAAACTGATTTACTCACATTATGGTTCCTAAGTAACCTTCCGACTACTGCAGGGTAATTAGGTATGTAACAGGCTCCATGCTTTTAACAGTTCTGTGTTCCATGCCTCGATTATTCAGTATCGCCCTCAGATTTCTGAGATGACAAATGAAGGATGGCACACTATTCTAAGTGACACTAAGAACCAGCTCTCTGTGTTATGGTAATTAACTGACCAAAACAGTTTTTAGTTGTTTAAATGGTCATAAAATCTCAGGTGGGAGACTTCCAGGCAAAGATGGCAGACTGAACATATGCATTTATTTTTGTTCCCTCCTGAAACCCTACTAAAACGTCAGTAAATTAATTTAAAAAGGCATAAACCCATAAAAATTTAAATTTTAAAAGGCATTAACCCACAAAAGAAAGAGAACAGCAGAGGAAACATGAAATTTGGAGAGCAGATGGAAAAACAGTGACTTAGCAGACCTGAATAAACTGAATCATAAACCAGCAGTAGGAAAAGCCAAGAAGCAAACAAGTGCCACCAAAGAACCTCAAGAACTACAGCACCAGGGACCTCTGGCAATGGGGGTGAAGGTAAACGTGACAGGATGGGTTGGAAGTCTATTTCAGAAGGAGTTGAATCCCCAGTTCCCCTTCTGTCTGAGTAGTTTTAAGGCTTTCCCTGACCGCACCCTGGCAGGAGGGTAAACAGAGGGTCTACAGACTAGGGGACGTCAGGCATAGCTGAGGATGAAGAACATCAGGCTACCCTACAGAAAACAGGGGCTTGAATAAATGTTTATAGGCCAATGCTGACAGTCCTCTCCCCCAGCCCTCTTTTCCCACTGGTTCCCAGCAAATTGGCAGCCAGGCTCGTGTCCTGCAGGAAAATGATAACATGATCCTCCTCTAGAGAATCTGACCAGCCCAAAGGAGAGAGAAGTAAAGACACTGACACCAAGGTCCCCCAATGGTATACCCAGTTCACCCCACAGGGAACCCCACACTGACAAGCACACCCAGACTTCTAATCAGGTAGTTAATGCCCCACTCTTAGCTATGATCAGACACTCAGGGATCACCAGACACCTGAGGAAAGCCCTTGACATAAAAGACAGAGACCAAGCAAGAACAAGGCAACTCGAGGGTCACAAAAGAAACTTCACAGAGAAGAGAACTTTTTTGAAAGATCAGTAATATCCTCAAAGAGTTAAGAGGAGCTATGGCAACCACAAAACAAGAATGTCATTTCCTAAAAAGTAATATTCAGACAAACAAAAAAAAAAAAAAGGGCTCTATGAAATTAATGATAGTGAAAATGAAAAGCTCAATTGAAGGACTGGAAGACAAAGCTGCAGAAATCTCGCAGAAAGAAAGCAAAAAGGCAAGACACAAAAATAGGAGAGAAGCTAAACATAGTAAGAGGACTGATCCTAACTGTCCATCATCTAAAGAACAGGTCTAGAAAGAGAAGACAAAGAAAGGAGAAGGGAGCAAATCATTAACAAAATAATTCAAGAAAATACTCCTCAAATGAAGGATATGAGTTTCAGATTGAAAAGGCGACAGACTGGAGGAGAGGAAACAAACACACATACACAAAATAAGTCAAACATATAGTGTGCAAAGTGGTAATAAACGCTACGAAGAAAAAGATAGCAGGGAAGGGGAATGAGGAATGCTGGGGGTGGGGGTGGAGGACTGTAGTTTCAAATAGGTTAGAGAAGGCCTCTCGGGGAGAGTGATGTCTGAGGAAAGATCTGGAGGTGGGGAGGTGAGAGGAGCCATGTGGTTGGCTGGGAGAAGTGCATTCCAGGCAAAGGAGAAGTACAAATGCTGGAAGCCAGAGTGCCTGGCATGTCCATCCAGCAAACAGAGAAGAGGCCGCAGCAGCTGGAGCGGCATGACTGAGATGGAGAATGAGAACAGAGGTCAGAGAACTAGGGGTGTACTGGGAACGACAATGGGGTGGGTGTAGGTCACTGCAAAGACTTAAGACTTTGACTTTCACTTTGTGTGAGAACAAGGAAGGTTCTGAGCGTAGGACAGACACAATCTGAGGAGATCTGAGGTGTGTTTCTAAAGGGTCACTCCAGCTGCCATATTAAGAACTGACTCGGGAGGGGGACAAGAGTGAAAAGCAGGGAGTCCAGTCAGGAGGCTGCTGCAATAATCCAGGGGAGAGATGCTGCTGGATTGGACCAGGGTGATAGCACTGGAGGTGGTGGGAAGTGGTAGAAGTCTGGATATATTTTGAAGGTAGAACAAGATTTGCTGACAGATTAGATATGGAATGTAAGAGACAGAGAGGAGTTCAGGTTTTGGGCCAGGACAGAGTCGCCATTTACTATAAACGGGGAAGACTACAGGAGAGCCAGGTTTGGGCAGGATGGATAGAAGGTTTAGAAGGTCAGGAGTTTGGTTTGGAATACATCAAGTTTGAAGAGCCTGCTAGAAATCAAGTAAGATGTTAGTAGGCAGGAGAGACGGGAGAGAGAAATTTCGAAGTCACTGGCATATGGTTGGTATTTAAAGCCATGAGAAGGATGGTATCACAAGGGGTGAGTGTATGAAGAGAAGAGGCCCAAGTACAGAGTCGTGGGACCCTCCAAAGATGATGATGAGGTGACCTCGACAAGAGCTGCTTCAGTGGAATGGTGGGAGTGAAGACCTGAACAGATCTAGTTGAGAAGAGGGGGAGAAGAACTAGAAAGAGCAAGCATCAACAAGCAGAAGTCTTTCAAGTTTTGTCACAAAGCGGAGCCAAGATATGGGTCAGATGATGGAGAGGGAAATAGAGTCAAATGATTGTTTTTATTTTATTTCATTTTTTTGCAGTACACGGGCCTCTCACCATTACGGCCTCTCCCACTGCGGAGCACAGGCTCCAGACGCGCAGGCTCAGTGGCCATGGCTCACGGGCCCAGCCGCTCCGCAGCATGTGGGATCCTCCCAAACCGGGGCACGAACCCGTGTCCCCTGCATCGGCAGGCGGACTCTCAACCACTGCGCCACCAGGGAAGCCCCAAATGATTGTTTTTAGGTGGGAGAAATGACAGCTTGTTTGTAAACTGATGAAAATGATCTGGGAGAGAGGGGAATTTTGACGTTATAGGGGAAAGGCAGGAGGACTTCTGGAACATTGCTCTCTACTAGGCAGGAGGGGAAGGCATCTAGTGGACGAGGAGGGACTGGTCTGAGCTGGGAACCTGGACAGTTTACCTGTACTATGAGAGAAAACCCCATATATTTAAATGCATGGGTGGGAACTTGTGGAACTCTTCTTACCACTTCTATTTTACCAGTGAAATAGGACTCAAAGTCATCTAGGTTGAGAGAGATGGGGGGGTGAGTAGTGTAGATCTGAAGATCAAAGAGAAGGTGGGAGATAATCACCTAAGAGAATGAAGGAGTAAATGAATTAGAATGTGATATGACTGCCGGGTAGCAATAAGGGCCCACTTGAGTCCTTATTACAACAGTCAGTATTGGTTTTTCCAGCCATATATTGTTACAAAGGTATGGGGCAAAGTCGGTGGAAAACTGGAAATAACGAGGAATGGGGTTTTGCTAAACAAGTATGACAAAGCAAGAAAAATTGATGAATATTGTTTGGAGGGAGTGAATATAATAGACCATGGAATTTCAGACAGATGAGGGAAGTGACACCATGTAGATGAGGGACTTTAAATAGGCAGTAGGTGAATCATGAACAGCCCTGTAGGAAAATCATTTCATAATAATGATTAAAGGCCATCCAGAAAGGATTAAATAAGTACAGTATCTCAGTCACCTCAAATACTCTGTGAAACGAGGGTTAAGGAAGAGTGCAAACAATCACATATTTTATTTTATATCCTCTGCTAAAAAAGGAAGGGAAGCATGTGAACAATTATTTTAATATTTCATTCCATAGGTTAAAATAATTTTGTCGCTTGAGAGGGAAAATAAGAATCATAGAAGTCAGAATAGTAGAGGGAGTAAGCTAGAAAGAGAGGTGACAGTGACAAGAACATGGCTGAGACTATAGTGAGATGCTGATGTGGATGACAAGGCCTGGTGCGTGATCTTGGCAGACAGTGACAGAGCGAGGCTGTAGAACACGATCAATGGGGAGAAGATTCAAGAAACTGAGAAATCAAGTTTTAGAGGAACTTCCACATAGACAGTGAAATCACTAAGAATTATGACAGAAGTGCTGGAGAGCGACCCCTAGAACAGGAGAGATGTGGTGGGAACGTGGCTCCGCCGTGAACAGAATACATAAACTCATACTAACATACAGGATACATACAGTCATAACAGGGTAAGCACTGAATATCAGTCTGGCCAAAACTGTAATTATATTGGGAGGCAGGAAGGCCGTGGGGAGGAAGCAGAGGTTGGGGGATGGGGAGGGGGGATGACCGGTACTGCTGAGGAGAGCGGTGCTAAAATAAATCCGTATCTTCTGTAATAGTCAACAGATAATATCTAGCACCAATGAACATGAAGTAGCAATACAAACAAGACATTTAGAGTCATTCGGGTAAATTCCCAAAATAACAGCTAAAAGACTAAAACTGATTGCTTCTAGGGGTAGGGGGGAAGAAATGGAGGGGAGAGGCAGGGATATGCTGATTTTCAATAACAAGCCTTGAAGAACTATTTGACTCTTTATGCTGTGCTTATATAACTGATCAAAAATTAAAACTTAAAGAAAAAAAAAGCCGAGTTGTTCGAAAAGTGGATAATGATGCAACTTCTAATTAGGTGTTGTTATTCACCATCCCAGATTAATCAGATTCGTAAAAGCAATCTAAAATACAACTCTTTTGTTTTTTTCTCTCAGAAAGGATGCTGTCTTGTTAACTGATGCTTTTGACTTCACCGATCAGTGTTTAAATTCAGCACTTGGTTGTTATGACGGAAATGTCTATGAACGTCTGTTCCAGTGGGCTCAGAGGTCACCAACCAATACTCAGGTAGTTGAATAGAACACATTATAAATTATGCAAGAGAGCCGAGAGCAAGCAGTGAACATATCTCCATGTTTTCCCATTTTAATTGATTCCCATTAGGTTAGAAATTGCTTGGCATAGCATGTCTATTTAAAATATTTTGAGAATACATAAAAGAAACCAGGAGCAGGGATGTGGCCTGGTAGGAACTCTGAGTCTGAACTGTAATAAGCAAAATGCATTGCTCAGAATTTGGTAAAGGGAATTTGGAGAAAGGCCCAAGCTCTAAATCACGGCTTGACATACACAAGGGCATACACACATAGTGGCAAAGTGGCTTTTAAGTAACAGAAATAAAAAGATAAATCACTGCACTGATTTAACCATCTTAATTTCAGCCTTTTAACTCTTAGTTTCGTGTTGATACAGTAGGTATTCAAGGGTGATAGGAAGCTTGGGGGTGGTGGTCTCTCTCTCAGCCCTCACTGCCTGCTAGAGATGCCTCCTCCCCCTTCTCTACAAGGAAGAAAATCCCAGGGACAAAGAAGCCTGCTGCACTGCCATCAGTACCCCAGGAAAGCCAAATAAATGACAATTACAAGGGTTATGGCAAAAAGATCCCCAGCTGTCCCAGGAGAGAACACGAGAACTCATTAACAGAAGAAAGGGGAGGACTCATAAAATCCTAACAGTCTACAGCCAGCATTCCAGACTCTCTGCTATGAGCCTCATTGGGAAACATTATGAATATCAACGCCTACATTAACTGGAGTAGAGAAATAAACCCTGTATTTACAATTTGGGGAACCAACATTTACTAGCAGATTTGATACAGATGATCAAAACAAAGACACTCTATAGCTATACAACAGGTTATTTTAAGTTCTATAATGCAGATATGTAATTCAGATGATGAAGTCTAGTTTTTTACCTCTTTCCTCTTCAAATTTCAGAAAAGGTGTCTTAACACCTCATCAAATTGGCACCTCTCAGGCTTTCATTCACACTTAGCATGGTGTTAGACTTGCTCTTAAAATTCTGCATCCTGTCATACCTCATAGCTTAATTTAACATGGTTATCTAAAGTTGCAACACAACGTTACCCCCAAGATGATTGTCAGCCAGAAGGCCAATCCCTGTCTCCAGGAAGGCATCCTTTTAACTCAACAAGGAAAGATAAAGAACTTACCTAAAGAAGATACAATACATTTACTGCTTAGTACCGTTAAGCTACTTCTAGTGTGCTACTTTTTCTAATGATTAGATCTCTCTACTTTCTAACATTTAAATCCTGGCATAGAACTACAGCAATCCTGTCACTCCAGATTAGCCCCTGTGGTCTAAAGAAACACACATGCCCTTTGGTACTCGAGAGAAAAACCTACCCTGCCTTAACACCTGTCAGGAAACACTGACATATCTAGCTCAAACCTGCTTTACTAGCAACACAAGGAAACATGCCAGTTCTCCTGATTCCTCGTATTCACCAAAGAACACAGGGGCTTCCTTGTCTTTTACTTGTTTCTACTCTTCATCTTGAAAGAATTTAATCTGGACACTATATGAGGGCAGGCTTGTCTAGATGAGGGGCATGACTGACCCACAACATCAGCAGACTTGGTAAGATGGTGATGCATGCCACCCCATTCACTTTTCCCTATCTCCGGCCACGTGACTGTGAACAAGGATGGAGTTTTCATCTTCCCAACTTCAGGGTCTATCACAGAGTAGATACTTTGCATTTACGGAGTAAATGAACATGGTTCTGTGACCTACGCAGCAGAACAAGGACCCTGCTGCATACCCAATACTGCAAACTTTTGCGATCCTAGCTTACATTACCTTGCACAAAAGGTGACAGGTACAGCAACGTGACTCTTTCATGCACAGCGATTTTAAGAATGTGAGATTATAAGTGACCTTGAAGAATGTTTCCAGTTAGTTAAAACGACACTTGGTTGACAACTAATATATGCCTCCCTAATCTTACATTTCTGGCTCCTCTAGGCACCACCAAAATAGCCCTTTTAAAGTGTAGTTTCTAATCTGCTGTAGGTAATTTTGAAACTGCAGTTAGAGACATTTTTCCTCATTTGCAGTAGCAGAAAAAGGCACACTACAGGTATTTCAGATAAATTAAAACAAAAGCTACTTTGAAACATGCCTTGTAGACACAAAAGTACACACAGGAATTTATTTCACTGACATTTCTACCAAAAGAAAAGTGCTATGCTGTGTTGAATGTCTTAGAATTATAAGAGTCTCTCCTGTCTGGGGCAGGTTAGGTGCTGAGCTTTATCCCTAGACAGGATGATGCACTCCCATGGTTTACTCTCGCTATGGTGTTCTGCCTTTTGGCTTTTTTCCTGATTTAGATGCTATTTCAAGACAGTTTCTCCGAAATGAACTGCAAAAGACTGTTCCTCTTCCCCACGTGAACTCCTATCTAAGTGATTCCCTATAGATGCAAGCAGTGAAAGAACCACTCAGGATAATTTCAAAATAAGAATCCTATTTCCCCCCAAATATTCTATTGCAGAAAATTATTCAAGTAGTTGCCAGATGCGTTAAACACACCTACTGATCCATGCATTCATTCAATCATTCAACAAATAGTTACTGAGCATATGATGTATGCCAGAAACTATTCTAGGTACTGAGGACACAGGAGAACAAAAGAGTCATAGACCCTGTCGTCAAAGAGCTTACAGCTTTAACTGAGACAGGCAAAAAAGTAAACAAGTAAATATTATAAAAGATGAGGGTAGATCTGTGAAGAAAAGAAATCAAGATATCACCTTAGAGAATAATGGGGATACCCAATTCTGACATAGAATATTGCTTACCTGATTTCACCTTCTGGTTCCTTGCTTTGTGGTTAACATGTTCAATTTCAAAGAGCCTCAAAGAGTCAAGCCTTTCATTTGTATTAAATCCCAAAAGCAAATGATAGCTGTGTTTTTTTAATTGGCCACCTGCATCCACAATTTAAAATCTGCATGAGAAAAGGAAGGATGCCCTTTGGAAAAAATGTTTCCCCATATGTTCACACAAAATGAATTTTAAAAATAAATTAAAAAATTAAGAATCGTATGTAATGTTACTTTTTTGAAACTAAAAACTTAATTTGAAAGTAAAAGTCATTAATCCTGGCAGAAATAGTCTGTCTTAACAATGCACTTTTTTCTACAAACAGGGGAACCCTGCCTATGAGAAATATATAAGACCACTATTACAAGGCTGGAGATCCAGGCTATGAAATAATCAACAGCATTCAAGAGGCACCACCACGTGGTAATGGTACTATGGCATATGCATCATTAAAATCTACAACTACATATGTATGTATTTTTTAAAAAGAATCATTATCTTCCAGAGACACAGACTGAAGCAGATGAAATATCTGTGATTTATTTCAAAATAATCCATGGGAAGAAAAAGGGGGAGTGAATCATTGTTGAAGCTATTCAATGGGTACGTGGGTGTTTACATTATTCTACTTCCGAATATGTTTGAAATTTCCCACAATAAAAAAACAGTAGCACTATCCATTTGCAGCTTCTATTTTGTTAAATGCCAGGATTTGCTTTAGATCTAGCAAAAGCCAATAGACTCATTAGTTATCACTTGTGTCCTTACAGCACACATTTATTTATCCCAGGGCTTAAAAGAACACACACACACACACACACACACACACACGCACACAAACAATCCTCTTCTAAAAGTGCCTATACTTGGTATAATCTAAATAAAATGTAGATCACCACACACCAATCAGAATGGCTGTCATTAAAAAGGTAATAAATAACAAGTACTGGCAAGGATATGGAGAAAAGGAAACACTTGTGCACTGCTGCAGGGAATGTAAGTTGTTGCCGCCTCTATGGAAAACAGTATGGAGGTTCCTCAAAAAATTAAAAATAGAACTATGATACAATCCAGCAATTCCACTTCTGGGTATTTACCCAAAGAAAACAAAAACACTAATTTGAAAAGATACATGTACCCCTACGTTCACTGCAGCACTATTTACAACAGCCAAGATCCGGAAGCAACCTAAGTGTCCAACAATACATGCATGGCTAAAGAAACTGTGGTGTACATAAACAAAGGAATATTACTCAGCCATAAAAAAAAATGAGATTGTGCCATTTGCAACAACATGAATGGACATAAGACGGTACTGGCTAAGTGAAATAAATCAAACACAGAAAGACAAACACCATATGATTTCACCTACATGTGGAATCTAAAAAACAAAACAAATGAGCAAACAAAACAGAACAGAAACAGACTCATAGATACAGTGGTGGTTGGCGGAGGTGGGGATGGGATGTAGGTGAAAGGGATTAAAAGGTACAAACTTTCAGTTATAAAATAAGCAAGCCACGGGATGTAATGTACAGCATAGGGAGTATAGTCAATAATAGTGTGATAACTTTGTATGGTGACAGATGGTTACCAGACTTATAGTGATCAATTCGTAATGTATATAAATGTCGAATCACTATGTTGTACACCTGAAACCAATATAATATTGTACGTCAACTATACTTCAATTAAAAAAATGAAAAGGAAAAAAATAGAGCCTTAGGAATACAACTAACATAAATGTTTAAAAAATCAACTCTTCCAAAGTAAAAATGATTTAAAGTTTCATAAAAGACATAATTGTCTCAAACTACCCAAATATAACCAACCTACATTTTTCACATCATTTTCAACTGCCCAAGTATATAAAACACCCAAAATTGAATACCATCAAACAAATTAAATTGCAAAAAATCTCAGCGGGCTACTTTTCCTAATTTACTCATATAAATAATCATTTAATTGTTAATAATTTATAAATCTGAGAAAATTTACCAAAAGCAAACTTATCTCCAGTAATCTGGACAAGGAAGAGACCTCATAGATATTTTACTCTTAAAACCTTGGAACAACTATTCATTCCCATTTCCATACCTGTTTTCAACCCAAATAATTTCATCTTTCATTCACCTCAGCTAACTCAACAACACATAGCTGGCTGGGCTGTTCCTTTTCTTGTCTCTTTTTTAGGTAACCACTAATCAGTTTGAAGGAGGAGACCATTTTCTAAAAAGATAACCTCATACTTAGTACATTTACTGAAACCACAGCAACCTACCAATAACATTAAGGGATTTTAGTTTGAAGATGGTAAAAATGGGGTAGTTACAGGTTTCTGGATATTGGCCATTTGTCAAATCTTAAGTTTTCAGAGAGACGTGGGCAGAAATGGATGTAAGTAAATGTTCTCATCCTTCTTTGAAAGAGAATTTCAGAATCTTCTCAGAGGAGAAAAGGAGTGAGCTTCCCCGGGTCACACAGCCTCAGGACTCTACTCCTCCCTTAGACAACAGGGAAGAAATTTCTGAACTTTCTTTTAAAAGGTGTTCTAGCAAACTAGGAAGTTTCACTATAGTTAACATAATCCTTCCAGCGAGTAACTTCCAAGAAATAGAATCAAATGAACTTATGCAAAATCAAATGAAATTATGCAAAATAAGACTACAGTAAAATTTTAAAAAGTACATGATATTTCCAACTGTTCTAGATCCTTCATTCATTGCAGTTTTCTTCTCCTCAGAAATTTAACCTTAATAACAAAATACATTTGTGGGTCACCATAATATATGAGAATAAAATGGCTAAAGAGTTGGTTTGTCCCTGTGCTCGATACAAAGCTAGAATAAGGGTCATAGAGCAATGACAACTGGTGGCTTACTGAAGAAAAATCTATAATCTTCAAAATAAGTCCTAGTTGAAAAAAATTTGTCAAACTGTACGTTCACTGTCCAGATATACACTCTTTTAGACAAAACTAATAATTCCATCAATTCCCTGCTTCAACAGCATAGAATTCTATAAACCACATCCTAAAGTTCCACTGAGTCCTCCTGAATCAAATACGAATGTGCTATAGGCAGCATTTACTGGGACATAAAACAATGCATATTTTAGACAAAGAATACGATTTTCCCCCTTAACTGACAATAATCAATAAATACAAACCTAATTTTCATATTTCATTTATTTATTTATTTATTTATTCTGGTAGACAGTACACTTGGGAATTATACTGCACCAGGCATAAGAAGTAAGATTTCTACCACAGGGACATTTTGTATTCAGAAGCCAATATAAATATTTCTAGTCAGACATTTCCATGGCTACAGATATTTGGTTGCTTGATTTATATGCATAGAAAGAAACAGTTGTCATAACTGTAAAAAGCAGTACTTAACAAGTACTTTTAAATGACTGGAACAGTTTTCCTTTAATATTATAATACTGCTTATTGGTTTGAAAACTAGGTCACCCTACATGATGTTTTGATTTTTCCCAAAGGCATCATGAGTACTCTGTTTATTCTTTCATTCCTGCATTTTTAGCCTTCTAGTTGAGTTAGGGACTATTTAATCAGAAATCATTTTAGCACTGTAATAAAAAAAAGCTCTGTTAAGGGTAGATTATATACCATAACGATTTTCAGACTTCTTTTTATAAAAAAGGTAACTGGAGGCTCTGAACAGGCACATGCATACTCAGCGTGAAGGGAACAAAACATAGAGGAGTCTGCTGAAGCACAAAACTTCCTTCCTTCTGGTCCCCAGTGCCTTCAAATAAATACAAATATTAAAAAAAAAAAAATCTCACACTGTGATTTAAAAAAAAAAAAAAAAAATCAGCCTCTTCGATCTCCTGGAGAGTCCACTTCCAGGAACTTCTCCCAGTGCTGGAGGTCAGTCATCTGTCTTCCGGGCCAGCCTGCAGAAAGTCCAGTTGTGCTCCACTGTGTTCTCGTTGGCCCGCTCACTCATGTGATGCACTCGGGTGTTTCGGATTGTGAAACCTTGTTTTGTAATGTATTCCATCAGGTGGACTCGGAGAGAAACTTCCTGGTGATAATCACAGGGTCCAAAAGTAAAGGAAACCTGGCAATCTCTGGTGTCCATCATATGCTTATTCCACTTTGTAAAATAGTTTGATATACCTTCTAGTAAGGAATGGACCTTGGTGGTGATGGTTAATTGGGTTATGATGACAGCTACTGGATTGGAGTACTTAGAAAGCTTCCGAGTACTAGATAACTCCACAACTTCTTCAAAAGTATCCATAGGATACAAAGGCTTGGGGTCATTGAGACACTGAATCAAGGGCTCAATCTGATAAAAATCTGCTTCTTTCCGAAGCAGATCAAATTCCTTAAAATCCAGGGGTAAGGTCAACTCTGAAGTTCTCAAGAAGTTGAGGACATATCGGAAAAGAGGTCCATCTCGATCAATGAAGTAATTGCCTTGAGGGTCTCGAGCTGTGGGGAAGTCCCCCCCAAACATAGCTCCAAGCATGGAATCCGGGTAACGCGTCAGTGTGGTGAGAGACGTTGTGTACAAGTGTCCACCTACATTTAACGTGACTGGGTCAGTCATCTGAAAGTTTTTAAAAAATGATCAGTTATCTGAAATGTTTTTAAATCCTAACTTTGACAGATTAAGAAAATTAGTGGTAACAAGCAAAGCAAAAGATTCAGGCTACAACACATCTAGCAATCCACTGATGCAAAATATAGCTTTATTTTCAGTGAGAAACCCACCCGGATGAAGGGATCTAACATTTGCTTTCAATAGAGAAAAGGGATACGTCCAATTCTTCAAAGGCTTACACTAAAAAAGGAGGACATGGCTTCCAAAGCCACTTTATTTCAGGCCCAGTATCTAGAGAGAAGTTTTCAGGTCAGAGTATATTATGGGAGGAGAGAGGCCAAATATACTCATTTAAGTTTTTTTCAGAGTAAAAAAACAAAAAACTTTCATTTTTCTTAACTCAATTTAACATAAAATAGAATAAAAATGATTTGATAACACAAAACATCTACTTTCAATATTTCTTTTGTCTTTTCCCCCTCAAAAGGAGGGGGGAAATCATGAAATTTATTTTAAAAATAAAAATTTGTGTAGACCTAATCTTCCTAACTTTTTCATGGAAATACCAGTATCAAATACTAAGTTAAAATACACAGTTTGGTCAACACAATCTCATATACCCAAAGGCTAATAGCAGCTTTCAAATTTCATAATCTGATAGTATATTCACTTTTGTAACATTAATGTTGCAATCTGGCCTTTAATTTTGAAAAGCAAGCTTCTCTAAATAATACATACCTTTGGTTTTTAAAATCATATTTAAGAAATAAAATAAGACAGATAAAGACAGGTACTATACAAATAAAATATTTCTTACCAAAGGAAAAGGAAAATAGGAAGACACATGCACATGCGAGAAAAAGTGCTAGTGGGAGAAGTGGCACCTTCTCAACCGTTAACCTTCCCAACCACAAGAAAATGTCCTCTCTACCCATTACCTACTAGACATTTAACAGTCACTACTGTATGATGGAAGAGTTTTAAGGGCAACATACTTTAAAGACCAAAAACAAAAATGATTATCAAAAGTTACATAGAGAGTCCGTGTTGAGCTTGCTTACCTAAAAACACCAAACAAAGTTAAAACACCAAAAAATACATCTAAACTAATGGAGGCGGGGGCGGTTTGCACCACTGATAATTTTCATTCTTATGAGATGTATTATACCTAAAAATACATAAGAGGCGGGGAAAGACACACAAAAATAATTTGCCAGCCTTCAAAATGCATCTGCAAAAGCCTCTCACCATATAGCCCCAGTCTCCATTATCCATCTGCTCCAGTGCTGCGTCTCGGGGAGCCCAGGTTCCAGGGAAACTTGGGGAAGAGAAAAAGACATGTGACAGTGCATGAAACTATGAAAACAGAATAGAAAAGTTTTCTCACCCAACAGAGCAGGCCAAACACCAGAAAACTATTCATCTTTGCTCAACTAAAACCTGCTACAAGGCAAAGATCTGGGGAGGAAAGGGTTCCTCTAAGGCCTTCTATGGGTCCCCAAGAGACTGGCAAATCTTTACAGAGAAAGAGTTATCCTATACTTAGAGAAGGTAGAGAGCCTAGTGAGTAAACCAGTCATTCAAACTCTACCTACCTTCTCCGAAAATTCAATTTTTAGAATTCCTACAGGAGAGCACTACGATTACCTCTACAACCTTATCCTGGTACAAACCTGTGATGATCCTTATCAAAAAGGTTAAGAGAAAGAGAGAAAGGGAAAACGTTTTCATCAGCATTTCAGCTATATAAACTAAACACCATAGCAAAAGCATTAAAAACTATAAACCTCCAAGACACCGGTATCTCTTTCCAGGAGAAGTATGTCAGAATGGTAGCTCTTTTGTAAAACAGAAAAACGAATTATACTTTTAATAATGATACATTTCATTTTGTACAATAATCAAAACAAACAGAAAACAGTTAAATGCCAAACCATTAAAGCACAATTGGGGGCAAAAAGAACCTTACACATCTGAGAGTCAGTCCCCTGGCACTTATGGAGAGCCAGCCTGAAGACACTGATAAACACCCAGATACTAAAGATGCCAGTTTGAATTTATTTTTATCTACAATTCAAAAGCACTTAAACAGTTTCCCAGTTACTGAACTGCTTTAGTCAGTTCTCCCTCACACACATCATTCCCCAAATCACCCGGCAAAGCAAACTCCAGAGCAAATTTCAAAAGCTTTGGCAAAAGACAGTAAGAAACATGGAGTTATCGGTATTTATCCAGGAAAAGCGCTGTTTTGGTTGTGTTTTTTTTTTTTTTCTTAACGTGGTCTTTGCACAGATTCACTTTTCCCACTTTTAGGGGAATCTGGCACACTAATTCCCAGAACAGGCCCTGGCTACAGAAGATCACAAAGGCTCTTTCTCAAAAGGTCACTCAGGCATGTAGAGAACATTTGCATAGCACAGCAGGGGCTGAAATCAGAGCCTGAAGCATCTATTTCTCTACCTTGCAAATTCTTCAAAGCAAACAAGCTAAAATGTGGACCAGACAACGTGGGGTCAGTTTTTATTCTCCACACTCAGCAGTTGGATATAGATAGGTCTCCACATGCTATAGGGTGAGAAATGGAACAAATTCAGGGCTGTTGTGACAACCTTTCATTCCTCTGACTTGCTTCATAAACAGTATTTGAAGTAACAGAACCAAGAAACACGTTTTACCAATTTGTATTACGAGCACCTGATTCAGTTACTGATGCAACAGACAGATCAGTAGATCAGCAACTGAGCGATTTAAAAGGCCAGTCATCCCAAAGTTCTGGTAAGATGCCCATCTTTGGCATTTTCCCATCACCTGAAGTATTCATTACTGACAGCCTCAAAAATAATTCAGTCAACCGACATTTACTGCAGGGTAGAGCGAGGAAAGGTATGGTCCTTGCCCTCGTGGGGCTTTCAATCTATGAAGAAAGGCAACAAGCAGCAACTGAAGGACAGAATAAAATTCAAAAGTACTATGTAAGGGCTTCCCTGGTGGTGCAGTGGTTAAGAATCCACCTGCCAATGCACGGGACACGGGTTCGAGACCTAGTCCGGGAAGATCCCACATGCCTCAGAGCAGCTAAGCCCGTGCGCCACAACTACTGAGCCTGTGCTCTAGAGCCTGTGCTCCGCGACAAGAGAAGCCACCGCAATGAGAAGCCCGCGCACCGCCACGAAGAGTAGCCCCTGCTTGCCTCAACTAGAGAAAGTGCGCGTGCAGCAACGAAGACCCAACACAGCCAAAAATGAAAACAAACAAACAAACAAAAAGTACTATATAATAGATGGACTGGCAGAGGCCTGAGCAAAGGAAGACCAAGAACCATTCCAAATGTGAAAATGGAGGACTTCCGGGAAGAGCTTGCTCAGTGGAACTCTGCAGGCATATTAGCACAACCTGAAAAGGGATTCTTGAATAAAGAAACAATTTAAGTAATGGGCAGGGCCGGGGAGGGGGGGAGTGTCCCCCCCAACATTCCTGATACAGTAGCAGAGCGTGAATAACTATCCCCCTTTTAGAGATGCAAAAGAGAGAACCGGCAGATTAAGAGGCTTGCTCAAGTCCCCACAGCTAGAAAGTAACTGAACAAGAGCTTGCGTTTCCTAGTCCAGATCTTTCCATAAAACCCCTCATTGGATAGAAACTGAAAGAACAGAATACAAGAAATGAGAAATCGAAAGGATTAACTTAAAACACCCCTACAGCCATCTATTAACCCTATCCACCTAGTAGGGATTTATTATTTAACAGTAACTCAAAGTGAGCAATCACAATGGGTTTGTAAAAATTCCCTTGAAGCAAAATAGCAAGAACCTACTCACTAGTGTAATTGAAGGCTGCTATACTCTGTCTTTTCTCTTTTTTTAAACTTATTTATTTTATTTTTGCCTGCATTGGGTCTTCATTGCTGTGCGTGGGCTTTCTCTCTAGTTGCGGCGAATGGGGGCTACTCTTCGTTGTGGTGCGCGGGCTTCTCGTTGCAGTGCCTTCTCCTGTTGCGGAGCACGGGCTCTAGGCACGCGGGCTTCAGTAGCTGTGGCACGCGGGCTCAGTAGTTGTGGCTTGCGGGCTCTTGAGCTCAGGCTCAGTAGTTGTGGTACACGGGCTTAACTGTTCCGCATTATGTGGGATCTTCCCGGACCACAGCTCGAACCCATGTTCCCTGCATTGGCAGGCGGAGTCTTAACCACTGCGCCACCAGGGAAGCCCTGTCCCTCTGTCTTAAGTGAAGTAAAGAACTCCACTCCATGAATATCCAAACGGTAAGAAATGGGAGACCAAAGACAAGTAAAAAAAACAGCCATCATCAAAGTTACAGCTGTTATGCAAGGACTGTCCACTATTAATCCTTTTTTTTTCTTTTTTACTGCTAAATCAAAACAAGGAAACTTTTTGAGCAAACACACACACACACACAAAATTAGATGATGCCCCTGAACCTGTTCCACAGCAAAAGCCAAGGTTCTGTTCCAGTACAAAGATGTAATAAAACCTCAAACTTAATAATTCAGGAAAGCAATTATGGGAATCTATATAAGCCCATGTTTCTTAAAAAGTACCCAAAAGCCTCCCTTCATTTGTATGTAAGATACATCAAAATAAAATGAAGTTACTATTAGTCACTTCCAATAACAACTACTAAACTATCCCTCCAAATCAAAACATCCACTAAAGAGCTCTAAGGGGGAAAAATAGTATTGATTAGTTTAAATTTTATCTCTGCACCTTACTTCTAAACATCCTCTGTGAAGATGCTCAGATACATCAAGAAACAAACCAAAAAAAAGGCAAAGAGATTCCTGGTCAACCAAGAGCTGGATAATCGACCTCTGACTGATGACTGTTAGGACCGTCTCAGAGACAATGCAGATGAATGAAAGCAAAAGAATTTCCGGAATAGCTTCAATTTCCAAGTCATCTTCCAGAGCTGCTAACAGTTAGAAAATGATTCATTTGCTTTTCATCTTCTCTCCCTTCTGGCACTCTCCAGTGGAGGGCTTAATGAGAAATTAAAGGACCACAAGACAGGCAGCAGAAGGAAGATCTTGAAATGGGCATCAAGTGGGCCTGTTTTACCTGATGAAGACAAAGAAAAATCCAACATTTCAGAAAACTGTCCAGGAATGGAGATTATGAAGGTAACAATGAAAAAAAATTTCCTTTAAAGTGACTTTCCTTTCTAACAATCATTTTAAACAACAGTGAATGCAGCCAAGCACAAACAATTGTAAAGTTCAAAGAAAGACTTCTGACCCTATAAAATCAGTTCACCTGAAAAGAGCTGACCTTTGGCGCAAATAAAATACATGTGGAAACAACTAGCTGACCGTTCCCAACGAATGTAAAGCAGTACTGAAAATTATGACTAATGTACAAATTCTGACAGTGTAATGTTAGCAGATAATTATGTTAAGGAAAACACACACTCAAGAATTTATAAAAGTCTTAAAAGAAATCGCTAAGAATTTTCCATAGTAGCAAATGTGAAAACTACACAATTCAACAAGTTAATGACTTAAAGAGTAGCATAAGAACACCTGAAAGTCATTCTCCTCACCACTGCAGAACTCAATTACAGGATTCATGGTTATGATGAACTAATTTAACACAAATATTCTGGGTTTATCATTTCTGCTACAGACTAAGAATTCTCCGGGCTAAAAGTCCTGCTCCTACATAATAACCTATAACTGCAATACACACCTCCAAACTTGAATAAATAATAAAAATGTATAACTACTGCCTTCCCAAAGTTTCCAGGTAGCTCTTTTAAAACACCTTCCTACTGAAATCTTTGTGTCTGGCATTCAGAAAAGAAGACTCAATAAATTCCATCTATACATACCCTCTGAGTTACCTTTGCGCTGAATTTCTCTGTTCTTGAAATGTGGGAGTTTGAAAGTGAAATACTTTTTATAGTAACTAGTTCAGTGACATCTAAAGGAGTCTTTTGGGTTAACATTCACATACAAGGTGGCATAGGTAGCCAGGCGCACAAGGGGAATGTGATTATGGTGTTAGGTTATCCCAACCATAACCACTGCAGAAATGGATTGTTTTGTCCGAAAACTAATCCTTTTGTGGTCTAGGAGAAAGGCGCTCTACGTTGAAAAGTGACTTTAATACTAAAGAGCTGCCACAGTCACAAAACCATAAAATTCCTCTTACCCTCAGTTTCTGTAAAATAAAGCGGAATAACAGCACCTTCCCAAAAGTAATGATTCCACTTGGGCACAACACAAAGGCAACAACTGGCCTACAGGGTAAAAGATCCGGACTAGAATTCTGAAGTCACAGGCAGGCCAGCGCAGAAGAAAGAGAACTGGTCACCGGTGAGGATCTGTATCCCAAGTCGACTCCATTACTAATTATGAGACTCTGAGTAAATCACTCTTTATGCCCAGCTGCTTCTTGCAGAAAAGAAAATGAGATCATGAATCAAAAACCATTGGTAGGACTTCCCTGGTGGCGCAGTGGTTAAGAATCCACCTGCCAGTGCAGGGGACACGGGTTCAAGACCTGGTCCGGGAAGATCCCACATGCTGCAGAGAACTAAGCCCGTGCGCCGCAACTACTGAGCCTGTGCTCTAGAGCCCGTGGGCCACAACTACTGAGCCCATGTGCCACAACTACTGAAGCCCGTGCGCCTAGAGCCTGTGCTCCACAACAAGAGAAGCCACCGCAATGAGAAGCCTGCGCACCACAAGGAAGAGCAGCCCCCGCTCGCCACAACTAGAGAAAGCCTGCGCACAGCAACGAAGACCAACGCAGCCAAAATAAATAAATTTATTTTAAAAAAAAAACCACTGGTAAACTGACAAGTACCAAACAAATGTGAAAATACTAGTGGCAGTAGCATAAATAAAACTTCTGTGGTAAATTGAGAAACTTGAGAGTGTGAACACAAGTAATTTAGAGCATGGGCACGGGGACAGGGCATACATAAAGAGAAGGCCTCTTAATCTGCTTCCAGTCTCCCCGACACCATCCTCCTTTCCCCCGAGCTCCAGAAGGGAGACCTACAGGTAAAGGGAAGCATCTGGCTTCCACAGAGACCACCAGACAGCTGAGCTCTTCATCACAGAAGGAACTTCTCTAAAGCATGACTCAGGATTATCTCCAAGGTAAAACCAAATCCAAATAAATACGTGTATTCCATTTTAAACAGACTCCAAATATCAAAATCCAAGAAACACTGAGGGATTCATAGAACGCTAGAATTCCTTTATGCAGTAATGCTTTAAAATATGATTTATGAAAATTCAAATCCCACAAACCTTAGAAATGGCATCTATGGCGGTCCCTGACCATCAATCCTTAATATCTATGGTGTTAAACAAAATGAAGTATTAGTATGGCCTGATAGTTCTCAGCCAAGGGCAAGTTCTCTCAGCCTGCCAACCATGCAGGTAAAAAGATTTTCCTTTTCCTAACTACACATCTGTTCATTTGAAAACATCTCAATCTTGGGCTCAGTCCTGTGCTAAATGCTGGCCCCTCCCTTCTTTCCTATCTTGGGATCACTCATGTACCTAGGCATTTGTGACAGCAAGAAAATGAACATGCCAAGGGGAAAGAGTAAGGGACACTTAGGCTACCCCAAACATTCTTAGCCAAACCAGGTCACCTCGGGTCTCTTGACCACTCAAACCTCTTCTATCACAAAGCCCTAAAATTGGAATTATCAACTTGTTCTAGAACTGGTATACTTGCAGAAACATGATAACTTCAGCAGAATATCCAAACAGGATCTGTTTCATTTCTCGAGTCCCACTCCCCAGACACAGCCTCCACCACTGACAGCCCGGCAGGTGCTTCAGGGGCTCCCCCTTTCCACGGCCATTTATCACCTCTGACATCCAGCATTAAAAATGCCCTGACACACACAAATCTGAGCATAAAGAACTCAGCTGCAGTCAATCTCTTTGGGGCGGAAAATCTCCTAAGGCTGGGCTCAGAAGCCCTGCCATAGGCTTTAAATTAAGGCAAACGGTGGCCAATAAGCACCACCCCAAACAAATCATTTTCCAGCAAACCTCGAGGTGCTCCCACTCGGGCAGGGCTTCGCTGTTGCCCGCAGGCGGAGTCCCCCGCCCCGATCCGGCCCCGGCGTGGGACGGGAGACTCTCGGGGCCGGGAGGGTGGCACGCACCCGAGCCTGGAACCCGGGTCCGCCGAACCCGCACGTCCCCGCACGTCCCCCCACACCCGGGCGGGGCCCGTAACCTCCGCCCAAGGCCGGCCCCCGGCCGCAGCCAGCCCGCCGCGAGCTCGTGCCAGCCCCGGAGCGCGCCGCCCGGGCTCCCCACGGTCCCTTCAGTGCGGCCCCGCCGCCGCCCGGATTCCCCTCAACCCCGCTCCCCGGGCTGCTCCGCGCGGGTTTCTGCTAGTGCCCGGCCCTCCCGAGCCGGGCCCCCAAGCCGTGGGCCCGCCCCTACTACTCACTGCGCTGCAGCAGCGGTGGTGGCCGGGCCGGGAGACGCCGGCGGCCGGAGAACGAGAACGCGTGGACGAGTGAGCCCGCGCCCGGCGGCGGCGGCGGCGGCGGCGGCGGCGGCGGCGGCGGCGGCGGCGGCGGCAGAAGGGACGACTGAGCCCGCGCCCGGAGTTGCGGCTCCTGCCGCCCGGCGCGGGCGGCGCCTTACCAGCCGAGACGCGGCGCCACGAGCGCAGACGCCCCCTAACGGCGGCGTGGGATGGTGGCCGGAGGGCCGAGCGGCCAGAACAACTCAATCAGGCGTAGCCTGGGCGCCTAGGTCAGACCGACTCCGCAGCAGCCCCGAAGCCCCGCCCCGACGCCCCAATCGAGACCCTGAGGCTCCGCCCAGATTCCCCCGCGCTCCGCCCAGAATCCGCCCGACGTCCCGCCTCCGCCTGTAGGTTGGGATCAGCCCAGACCCCGTCAGTTTTCGCTAAGTTCTCAGGCCTAGGGTCCCCACAGTTGTTTCTCTTGTCATTTCACGAACTCTCATGGGGCCCCGAGAACTCCCATGTTCCAGGCCTGGAGAGTAAAGCGGCCACCAAGAGGGCGGGGCATCCTGAAAGGAGAAAACAGAAAAGACCCAAGGAAACAGCCAGTAGCCAAAATAATGACAAGTTATAATTATAAATGTTGGGAGGTACATGAATCAGTTGGAGAATAAGGGGAGGGGACCTCTGTTTCAGATACAGTGGCTATGGAAGATCTGGACTCTGGGACTGTGGCCAGAGCACCTCCCGGCCTTTCCTTCTGTGGGATAGGTAGTAAGGTCACCTCTCCAGCCTTGTCAGCGGAGTAGTGAAAGGCAGCCAGGTGGAGAGAAGGGCAGAGTGACTTCAGCAGAGCAAACGACTAGTGCAAAGGCTCTGAGGCCTGAAGGAGCCGGCCCTAGATGAAGCTGGCGCCGCTACCGCCACGAAGGAAGCCAAGGCTGCAAAGAGTGGGGAATTACCTAAAGTCTCAGAGCTAATTGGTCTCCAAGCATAGCGTCTTTCCAAATCCCATTCACTTCCTGCTAACCAGATCTCCATCCCTTTCCAGGTGGGACCAGGTATGTGATGTTGGTTTTTGCCATTTCCCCTTCAGCAGGATAACCACTTGCCTTGGAAACTCACCTGCGCTTCATGGCTGCGATTGCGTGAGCTGCCTCTGGGGTTTAACTTTTATCTGCAGGATCATCACAGTCGTATCTGCTACTTGGTTTTTCTCTGAAAACTCAACAGGTTAAATAAATGACATATGCTTCACCAACATAACTGAGTGCTACATTATCATATTCAAAAAGACTAGGTGAGGATACAGGGAAATGTGTGTGAAAATAAGCAGTGCACAAAATGGTATACATGGTATAATCCTAATTTTATTTTAAAAAATGTAAATATACACAGGCAAAAATTTTGAAGGAAATACACGAAATCATTGATCCTGGTTCTAGGGAGTAGGATGGGAATATTAGTGACTTAACTACTTCCAAATGTTCTTCTGAATTTTCTATATTTTCTAGAATGCATGGATGCTGAATTTATAATCAGAAAAATACGAGTTTTATATTTTACAGAAGAAAGGTAATGCTGAAATTACCCAACACAGATCTCCAGGATTTGGTGCCACTGAAAATCCAAAATTGCCCCTGGCTTACTGGTGTCCTTGGAGGGGTCATTTCTCCTCTCGGGGCTTCTATTTCCTCAACTAAAAACTGAGAGGAATTAATTTTGTCAGTGGTTTTCTCAGAACAATTCCTACACATCTCAAAGTTTTTAATACTATTGTAAATTATATTTTCAAATTTGTATTTTATAAGCTACTGATGGCTATTGAAATGTAGTTCGTATTATATAATAATCTTATATCCAGCAAACTTTTTTAGTTCTAATTCAGTTCTAGGAAGTTTACAGGCTTTCTTGAATTTTCTACGTAAGTAGTTATAGAGTCTGTAAGTAATAACATTTGGTATCTTCCTGTCCAGTCTTTATTTCCTTTTCCTTATTTTACTGCACTGACTAAAATCTCCAGCACAATGTTGAGTAACAATGATGATAGTGACATTTCTATCTTGTTCTTGACTGCTTCTAATATGGCACCATTAAATATGGTGTTTGTTGTAGATTTTTGGTAGATACCCTGTATCAACGTAAGGATGTACTATTCTGCTTTATTATGAATGGGTGTTGAATTTTATCAAATGTGAGATTTTCCCCCCAATGTAATTAATTACACCATGGATTTTACTATATTAAACTCTCCATGCATTCCTTGATGATGTGCTTTTTTTTCCAATATAGTGCTGGATTTCATTTGCTAATAATTTAGAGTTTTTGTGTCCGCATCTATGAATGAGATATGCCTACTATTTTCCTATCTTATTCTCTCTTTGTCTGATTTTGCTATCAAAGTTACATGAGCCTCATAAAATAAGTTAAGGGGGGACTTCCCTGGTGATCCAGTAGTTAAGAATCCGCCTTCCAATGCAGGGGACGTGGGGTTCAATCCCTGGTTGGGGAACTAAGATCCCACATGCTGCAGGGCAGCTAAGCCCATGCACAACTACTGAGCCCGAGCGCTCTAGAGCCCGCGTGCCACAATGAAAGATCCACATACTGCAACAAAGATCCTGCGTGCCGCAACTAAGACCCGAGGCAGCCAAATAAATAAATAAATAATTTTAAAAAAATAAGGAATCAGTGTCTACTCACTAGAGCAGCTTCTATAAGATTGGGGTTTTTTGGGCTTCCCTGGTGGCGCAGTGGTTGAGAGTCCGCCTGCCAATGCAGGGGACACGGGTTCGTGCCCCGGTCCGGGAAGATCCCACATACTGCGGAGCAGCTGGGCCCGTGAGCAATGGCCGCTGAGCCTGCGCGTCCGGAGCCTGTGCTCCGCAACGGGAGAGACCACAACAGTGAGAGGCCCGCAAACCAAAAAAAAAAAAAAAAAAAAAGATGGGGGTTTCTCTGTGGTTTGGATTTTCTATAGGATTCTCCTGTAAA